ATTTATAAAAAACAGTTTAACAGTTACTAAAACATCTGTTAGATTGTCGGAATTATATTTGTGTTAAAATATATAATCCAAAAATATATAATATTAACTATGTTTTATCAAAAAGTTAAGATATAAGTGTAAATTTAATATTTTTATCACACTTTTTGTAAGAATGTTTAGAATTTTTCTTTAAAAAATTAATTTTAAGAAAAATATATTTAGTTTCATTCATTATACTTTTGAAATTCTTTTTAAAGAATTTAGTTCAAAACACAGGCAACCAAATTATTGATCTAGAAAAAAAATTTTTGATATTCATGCATTAGAATTTGTTGTAGAACTGTTAACGGGACAAAAACAAATGTGATTTTCATTTTAAAATTCGGCCCCGATTTCGATTTTCGTTTTCAAATTGAAAAATATTTCATAAGCCTTATTTTTTTTTTTAGATTTAGAACTTTAATTTATAGAATAATAGAATTTATATAATAATAGAACTTTAATTTTATTTTCGTACAGAAAATAAAATTAAAATTGCAATTAAAATTTTAATTAAGGTTGTTTTTAAAAAAATTGTGTCGAACCCAATCGCCTACCTTAAAGTTTAAAAATGGTTCTTTTTTTTCATTTAAGTCAAATATTTTAAGTCCAAAAATAATTGTTGTATTTTTTTGTAACAAAAAAGCCTTTCTTACTAGGAAAAAAGAACTGTTAGATAAAATATACTATATTTGAGAAGAGTGTTTTTTTTTTCATAAATGTTCATTTTCGCTTTATTTTCTTCAATCGAAATCAATTCAAAGAATATGATACTTAAAGTGACATTCAACTCTGGATTAAAACGGTCAATTTCTGGACCTCACGTTTCATGTCGATCACGTCTAAAACTGACCATCCTCAACCAACGCTCTTTCACTTCTTTATTTATATTTCCCTTCCTTGAATCCTTTTTTTCCTTTTCTTCTTCTTCTGCTTTTCCGTATCTCGCTGTTAAGGGTTGGAATTTCAGTTTGCTTTAGAAAAGAAGACCGAGATTTTTTTTTCTCCCTCCTCCTCTTCATCTTGGAAGAAGATGTTGAAGAGTAGGTCTTGGGGGCGAGTGAAAGAAGATGGGGAGAGAAAGTGTGAATATCGTACATATAAATCAAGTGAGAAGCTTCCAGAGGACTGTTTGTTAAGGGATGATGATTTATCTCAAAGCTATTGCCTGTCTTGTGTGAGTGGTTTTGTATGTGGTAGATTTTCACTCTTTTTCTCTTTTGTTATTCATCTGCTTCCCTAAGATTCCCTTTCGGCGAAATTCCCTTTTTTCCCTTTCTCAAAGTTTTTATTGGTTTGAAGCTGAAAATTGAAATACGTTCCACTATGATTTGTTGTTTATTCCAAACAAAATACTGATCTGATTTTTGGGGTGGAAGTTTTCTTCTCTTCGAAAAAAAAATCTGTTTTATAATTCTCAAGCATTGTTGTTCCTCATATATTACTATATTCAAAAAATAATATTATACTGCATTATTTTTAAGCTAAGAAAATTATTTTGAAATTTTCGAATTAATTATATTAAGAAAATGATTAAAACTGCATATCTATCTCAAAAAACTGGAGTATTTAATTATTTGTGCAAGGCGATGTATCGTTATATATCGATGTTATTTAACTATCATTCGCTAAATATTAGTATGTATTATTATAGTCATCAAATGAGTCGTGGTGGCTCGGGGGATATAGCATTTGCCTTCCAAAGAGATGAACCAGGCTTAAACCCCAGCTATGGCTAGTCGATACGAATTCCGCACCTGGCTCGCACCTACCGCAGTGCTGACGTAAAATATCCTCAGTGGTCGGCGGATCACGGGTTGAAATCCTCTTCCCGTCAGTTTAACGGTGGGTGTTTTTCGTGGTTTTCTACTCCATGTAACGCAAATATCGGTTAGTTTCATCAAAAAGTCCTCCACGAAGGCGCATTTCTCCCACTGCTAGATCCAGGAATTCCCTTGTCTTCTGGATTGGGTTCAAAATTGCAAGGCTAAGGGATTGAACGTTGAAAGTCGTAAACCCATAATTCTGTCGGCTGTTCCACAACTGTTGTAAAAAAAAAATAGTCATCCAATAATATTATACAGCAGTATTTTTAAGTTAAAAAAATTATTTCGCTATTATAACTGAATATTTGTTTTGTAGAACCTGCACCTGTAATTATGAGTGCAAGAAGATATACCATTAGATACCGATGCTATTTAGCTATCATTCACTCAATATTGTATTGATATATTCACCCAATACTATTGTGCTGCGGTATTTTTAAGCTACGAAAATTATTTCGTTATTCTAACTGCCTATTTATCCTGAGGAACGGGCGCATTGTAATTATTAGAGCAAGGTGATGTTTAGATATGGATGCTATTTAACTATCGCAAGAGCGATATTCTAGCTTTGATTTCCTCTCTCCCAATGGTGCAATTCCAGTTTATTCTCTCGAAGTTTTCATTGGTTTGAATCTAAACATAAATTTGCTTTTCACTGTGTTTTGTTGTTGTTAATGTCAAGTCAGAAACTGATGTAAAGAGCCTTTCTATGTCACATAACTCAATGTTGTTGATGAAATGCAGTCATTCTCAATGAGGGAAAAATAATTATTTTCAATGATGGAGACAACACTTACTTTAAAATTTTGTTGAAAGCGATTTTCTCGATTAGGGTGCAAGGGACTGGACATAGTGACCGATATAATATTAACAATTAGTATCGAGACAATTTTGCAAGTCGAGATTTTAGAAGGAAATGGGTTGCAAGTCATTTAACATCATAATAGGGAATGTTCGCTTCACTTATCTCTTCCAAAATCGCGTTCTCTTCCAAATTTCATCTCATCCAAGAAGAAAATAGATTAAAGTTATAAATTTAAAACTTATTTATCCTACCTTAGAATAACTTTTTAGAAATTTTCTTATGCTTTTAAGAAATATTTCTGTAACAAAATGCAATTTTCCTACGAATGAAATATAGGATGGTCCCCCCCCTTATAAAGCGCCATCTCGTTGCTTTTTTAGGTGTCACAAATTGTTAATTTTTTTTTTTTTCTGCTGCGCAAAATATATTTGGACGGAGAAACTTTAAATGACGTAGGTGCATAAAAATATATAGGAGGAACGAAGGAATAAAAAAATTAACATTCAATTACTATTTCGAGAATTATCAACTGTTTAACTTGTAAAAAAATGGCTGTATTTACAGAGTTAAATTCAACGTGCTTCCATGTTTCATAAACGCAATACGAATTTTTTTTTTTAAATTGCTTGAAACTTAAAGCAATTTAAAGTGTTTTTTTTTCTTGGGAATTTTCTTTTGCGTTTTTTTTTCTTTTGATATATATATATACTTTTTTTCTTTGCTTTAGGTTACATTGTGTTTTGCTACCCAAAACTTATAAAACTTAGAAAGTTGAAATTAAAATGGGTATAGACAAATGTACGATAAAATAAAACATTATAAGATTCAATTATTAATTGTAGAATTATCAACTACTAAATTCTAAGTTAAAAATACCATTCTTCTCAATTTACAGCCAGCTTAAATGCAACTACTAAGTTGAAATTTGCCGTGTTTAAAGGCTGATTTCTGTTAGGAACTCAACGTGACTTTTTTTTGACATTCCAATTAATTCTAAAATCATTGCTATTTAAATTGCATTATTCGAGATTTTTTTTTCCTTTAAAAATGACTACTTATCTCCTGTTGTAGAAAAATTTATTTCTCTCGAAATCTTCCTTTCTATTAAGCTCATGCTTGACTTGCTGCATAAAGTAACAAAAAAATAAGAAAATGAAGTAAAATGAAGTATAAGAGCATTTTTAAAACAAAAACATTACAACCTAAGCATATTAAAGACTCAATAAAGATGAAAGCTCGACAATTTGAACTGTTGTAATAATATAAGATGATCGTTTTATATCACCAAAAGAGTAAAATTACTTCGATTTATTACGCCTTATTGTTCTCACACAATTTATATCCCTAAAATTAGTTTTCAAATACATTTGATTATTTGGAAATAATCCCGGTAATGAAACATTTAGTTTCGATTGTCATATTAACAAAATATTTTTCAGAAAATTTTAATGATTACATATTTTACTGTCTAAATTATCGTTTTTTGGGAGAAATATCAACTATTCAGAAGGAGAAAAAAACAATGATGAATCCGAAGTGACTGCAGAGTTTGTTGAGCAAAGCGAACAGGGGGTAGAAACCTATAGTACAAAAAAAATTTTTATGACCGTAACTAATAGTTATTTTTTTTAATTTATTGCTTAAAATAATCTGATTCCTTAAACGTCATGGAATAAAGTGTTCATTTTATTTAAATAGAAAAATATAGAGCACAAGTGAATATATAGTGCATATAACATAAATAACAATAGCATTCAGAATTAGCCGCTGTTAATGTTATTGTTTTCCCCTTTTTAGAAGAACCCGAAGATCAAGTAAAAGTTAAAGGTTAAGATGGACAAAAAGAAGATAAATGAATTTCTAATCTCTTAAAATAGGATATAAAATTGCCAGATATAAGTAATCTCATTAAATTAATTTTTTGATAAGCTAAGATTAACGCCCCTCAAAAAATTTCATTCTTTTTTTTTCTTTTCTTTTTTTCGTTTTTTAACTCAGTCTGAAGCACTTATAGAAAGGGATTATGGGATAAAATTGGCACGGCGCCAGTTAGTTATCTCTTACTTATCCTACGTTCTCTTGCATTTCAGTCGACGTGGAGGCGCTGCGGTCGAGAACCACGTGCAAAGAACCACCCACTCACCCTCTCCCTCGTTTTTCGATCGTCGTCACCCACCCCTCCACTACGCAAATCCCCCTCTTCAATTTCTGTTCACTTTTCCTCTCACCCCTCCATCACCCCCTTTAGTGGGACAAAATATGGAGTCTGGCTCTCTCTTGCTCTTATTGGAATGTTGTTGATGACGTTGTTGTGTAAATCTTTCTTTTCTCATTCAAAGATGTCTGATGATGACCGGTTGTCCCTCACGACTGCCGTGAGTGACGAGGAAGATCCGGCTGACCCTAGGACATCTTCTGCCGGACATCAACAGCAACACCCTAGCAGCAGCTACGGTGGCAGTTACGGCAACAGATCGAGATCCGGGGCTGCGGCAGCTTCTTTCAACTGCACGGGAGCAGTCAGAAAAGCCGGGTAAGTTTTATACTATTCTTTCGAGTATTCCCTTCACTGCACATGCGCACATCTGTACTGCGGGTTGACCGGCTGTAGTAAACAAAAAGATGACAGATTGTATACTTAAGAGAAATACAAATAATAAAAAAAATTCTACTCTCATTGAACGATGCTCTTCATTGTGATATAAAAGCATTTCACGTCGAAATTCCATTAAGGATTCCATTGCAGTCCTTTAATTGAATGATTTTTCTCTTAATGCATTACATGAAACCAACACAATAGAAAATGAATCTGTCAAACACATTCTGCAGATTTTTCCATTAATTTTTCTACTTAAGGCGACAAGGGGCTTTCAAATTTTAAATGATGTGAAATTTCTTAGTAAGTTTTGAAAATCATTTGATTTATTTCATTAATTCCATTCCATTGCAGTCTGGATTCTTAATTGAATTATTTTCTTTTATTGCCTTACGTGAAATCAACATAAGCAAGGATGAACCTTCACAAAAAAACATTCTACAGACTTTGAGACACGGCACCTTTAACGAGAAATTTAATTTCTTTTTTTTTTCTTAATGATTTGAAATTTCTTAGCAAATTTCAAAAATGGTTTGGCATAATTTTGAAATTCCGTTCCGTTACAGTCTTAATTTTTAATTGAATTATTTTCTTTTATTGCATTACGTGAAATCAACACAAAAGAGAATGAATTTGTCGAAAAACTTTCTACAGACTTTGAAACACAGAACCATTAAAGAGAAAATTTTGAATTATTTTTAAAACATGATATGAAATTTCTTAGTTAATTTTAAAATTGTTCAGTTTAATTTTAAAATTCCGTTCCGTTGCATTATGGGTCCATAATTGAATTATTTTCTCTTAATGCATTACATCAAAACAACATAATAGAGAATGAATCTTTAAAGGTATTCTGCAGATTTTCGGTTAATTTTGCTACTTAAGGGAGTACGGGACTTTTAAGAAGTAAAATTTAAATATTATTTAAATAATGTTACTTTTTTTAGTAAATTTAGAAATTGTTTGGTTTACTTTTAAAATTCCATTCCATTGTAGTCAGTTTTAATTAAATTAATTTCCTTTGTTGCATTACTTGAAATCAACACAAGAGAGAATGAATCTGTTAAAAAAAAACATTCTACAACATTTAACAAACATTTTAAATTTCTGTTTCGTTGCATTCTGGCTCTCTTTGAATGATTTTCTCTTACAGCATTAATTGACACAACAGAGAATGAATCTGTCAGAAGACATTCAGCAAGTTTTTAAAGTAAAACGGAAAATTTTAGAACTTTCTTCATAAGTGTTATAAAATTTCTTAGTAAATTTTAGAAATTGCTTAGCTTAATTTTGAAATTTCGTTCCGTTGCAGTCTGGATCATTTAAATATATAATTTTTACCTTATTGTCTGCCCGAAAATGACACAATCGAGAAAAAATCTGTCAAGAAACATATTAGTTTTTGATTAATTTTACTTCGTTAGAGAGACACGGGACAATTAAAATGAAAATTTTAGAATTTCTTTACTTTTTTCTTTGAAAATGTTATGAAATTTCTTTGTAAATTATAAAACATTTTTGTTTAATTTCGAAATTTCATTGCGTTGCAGTCTTTGATCTTAATTGATTCATTTTCTTGAATTGCATTCCATGAAATCAACAAAATCGAGAATGAACCATCCAAGAAACGTTCTGCAGAATCTTGATTACTTTAATTACTTCAGAGGAATCGGTACTTTTAATGTGAAAATTTTAGAATGTGATGTGAAATTTCTTAGTAAATTTTAAAAATTGTTTTGCTCAATTTTGAAACTCTGTTCTATTGAAGACTGGGTCCCTTTGGATGAATTATGTTTACTTAATAGAAAACACGAAAGCAACACCATAAAGATGGATCTTTCAAGAAACATTCCACAGATTTTCAATTAATTTTTGAGGGACCTCAAAGGAACTGAAAGGAAAGTTTTAGAAATCCTTTAAGAAAATGATATGAGGTTTTTCAGTGAAAAGCAATTCGTTTATTTGGAAATATATGATAATTTAAAAGAGTTGTGTTGATAATTCTTATAAAATACATAAAAATAAAAAAAATGCAGAAATAATCACTTGTATGCCGACTGTAACCAGAAAATTTTTCAACTTTATTTATAGATATCTAATGTGAACATAAATCGCAACAAGTATCAGTTTCTGCTAGAAGTATTGTGGAAAAAAAAATTTCAGTTTTTTTTTCACTTTTTAATCCAATTTTCACTTTATAACTTATCATTGAAAAAATTATTCAAGCTTTAGGAATATTAATAATTTTTTGAAAAGCTAGTTTCAATGCAACGAAACATGTCTATAAATAAGAAGTAAATTTATAAATATTCGAATGAGAAAAAGCTCGAACTTTTAAATTTAAATCATTAAAACTCTAACTTAATTTGTATTTACAACTGTAAATTTTTCAGTTTTTTTTTTCTTCGTTGTTTCAGAAGCACTTTTTTCGTGACTGTAATCAAGCATACATTATTTTATAAACAATAATAAAATTCTTTTTTCTTCTGTCATTAAAAAAAAGTATCGTATTATTTTTTAACAATCTGAGAATAAAAGTTTCAAAAGAAATAAAAAAAGAATTTTTCAAAAGAGGGGCACATTATACAATTTAAAAAACTAAAAAACAAACTGAAAATGTTAAAATTTAATCAAATATTAGTTTAATCACATGGCTAAATGATTTTTAAATTTTTACTAGGTCGGCAAGTTTTGTGATTTACCTTTTTATAATTCCGAGTTTAAACCGCATCATAAATATAATTCTAATAAAGTTAAAAATTAAATAAACTATATAAATTAAGTTTTATCCTTAGTATGGCTATTTTCTTCTTTTGATATCGTAAAACAATATTCGAAAAAATTGTAAATAAACATACATATTTTAAAAACAAATGATTAAGGCATATAAAGTTTTCTTTGGAAAATAATCTGTTTTATTGTTTTTTTTAAAGCCGTTCTAATGTTTTGAGAAAAATAGAAAAAAAATGATTTTTGACGAAGAGGTTATGAAATTTAGCAAAATAAAGAATAATAATATTTTTCTTATATCAACTATAGAAAATAAGTGGTTACATTTTCATAGTTTTTAATATATTTTAGCAAACATTTCATTATTTTCAATTACATAAAATGTTTTTGATATGAGAAAATTAGACTTTATGTTTATATCAAAAAAACATTTTAAAATAACATTAGTTAAAATCACGTATTGATTATTGAATACTGAATTAAATTTTATATTAAGTATTATGCAATTAAACTATTATTTCAGATATTAATTAGTACACGCTATATTAATTATTATGATTATTTTTGTAATAATTCTACGTATTAAATTACATTAAAAACTTCAATTAATATTTTAAATAATTAAGAAAATCTGAATACCCTTATTCATATTTTCTTCCACTATCAAACTTTAAAAAAAAAATAGTAAATAGTTACATAAATCAATAAAATCATTGTATTATAAATAATCTGCAGCAAAATTAATTAATTAGCTCGAGTCATATTTCTCAAGGTACTAAGGCCGAAGAGGTATAGAAAATAGATATATTTCTCTCATCTATTTTTCTCTAAAAAAATGTACGTAATTATTCATAAATTTGATACAAAATATATAATAGCTGAAATTCTACTCCATCCCCAAGGTTAGTCGTCATCAGACTCTTTCCTCCAAAAATATGGGAAAAATGCTTTCTCCGCAACATGAGAACATATGCCGGAAAACAACTTTTACGCGAATCATCGCTTCCACGTCATTTTTTACCTTCTGCGATTTTTTTGATTTTTTTAACTTTGACTTTTTTTACCTCTTTGTTTTTATTTATTCTTTATTTATAAGTGTTTTTTTTCTAAAACTGAAAAATGAAGCAAAGTACATTTTTTTCTTTTTCGAATTTCGTTAAAATAAGCTATCAGGCTTAAACCAGCATCAACAAAAAAGATTAACAAAAATATTCTTTCTAATAATGTAGGGAAAATAGTAAATGTTTTCTTAGTTTGTTTAATAACTGAATTACATAAAATACGCTTTATTAAATTATTTTTAATGCAAAAAGTTTGGGAAAAATTAAACAGTTAAAAAATTGTCTAAATATTTTATTCGTCAATGATAATAAGTTTTTCATTTTACAATTGTATTTAATTTTTTTTTCGAATGTTTAAAATTTATTACATTTTTATTAACTTTTAGAAAAGAATATCGAAGTATTGTTTTTCTAAAAAAAAAATTTTGCAATAGGCATCCGTTATTTCATAGAATAACTGGGTATTTCATGGAATAACTTGACAAGTCAGTTAAAGTACATAAAATTATTAAATTCTACAAATTAAATAGGTATTCTAAAGAATAACGATTAATTGATTGTTAAAGTTTGAAATACTGCACTCTAAAGTTCTTTGAGCCGGTTTTATCTGCTTTTAGTCAGTTTTGAACCGCTTATAGCTGCTTTGTAATGTGCACACTTCATTCCGCTTTTTTTATACTTTGTTGTTAATGATGTAATATATGAACAATAATAAATTATATCATCTACTTTTTCTTATTATTTACCAATTAATCGTCCCTCATTGGGGAAAAAATGTATTTTTCGAAAGATTTTAGCTATTTGCAATCGATTAATTTATAAAATTTATTTATATGTTTATTTTTAACTTTAACGGTTTATCATCATTTATTTTATAGAATAGCTAGCAAAAGTAGGAAATTTTTCGTCTATTATATACTTTAACTAACTTGTGTAGTTATTTCAAGAAATACCTAGTTACTCTATGAAATGACTGAATATTTAATTGTGATGTAATATGTGCGTGTATATATATATATATATACCACTTATTTTCATTTTACTACGATTGTCGCCACTATNGATAGATAGATAGATAGATAGATAGATAGATAGATAGATAGATAGATAGATAGATTGATTTTCAGCGGTGAATGTCAACAGTCACATAGTCTCTTTGGTGAGTCCCCGAAATATTTTTTAAATCAGATTTTATATTAATTTGTTCGTTGATATTATTATATTTGTTCGATATTTCAATATCTGCTGGTGATAGATTAGGAGAAACAACAGTCTACAGAGTGCCGGGCATTGAACCTCAAAAAACACCAGTGTAAGGTATACTGGGCAGTGGCACTTGACTGGAGCTAGTATATTTTTCGGACATTTAACCAAAGTCGTCACGTGATTGTCCCCCGTAGAAGACAACAACCACTCAGTTAGGTCATTCACATTAATATATATATATATTATCATTATAAATTCGAACAATAGGAAGAGAAATGTGAGGCAGCAACACATTTCATAGCGTAAATTTAAATTATTTCCATATTCTTCTTATTTAGTGGCAGACCTTATAAGGTTTTTAAAGAGTATTTGTTGTTGAAAGGTTTCTGAGCGTGAAGAAGTGGCTCTTGAGGAAGAGGCAGCAGGTGGAGTTGGCGAGGAAGCGCGGCTGGAAAGGTTATTGGGTGTGCTTGAAGGGAACGACGCTTCTCTTCTATCCGTGTGATAACCGAGACGGCCGTGCCATCGACACCACTCCCAAGCATCTCATCATAGTGGATGGGGCCATCATGCAACCCATACCAGAACATCCAAAAAGGGATTTCATCTTCTGTCTCAGCACTGCCTTCGGAGACGCCTACCTCTTTCAAGTAATTTTACTCTTTTCATTTGTTTCTCACCTGACCTTACGTGAAATAACATTTTTTGACGCTATTTTTATAATGGCTGTGAGTTGATGACACTTTTTCGTGACTGTTAGGCATTTTTTCTGTGTTTTGCTAGTGTTCTTACATAAATTAAAGATCAGAATGTCAATATGAAAAATAGAAAGCGGCTCAAATTGTCAAAATAAAAAGTGGCTCAAACTTTCAGAATAAAAAATGGCTCAAATTCTCAATATGAAAAACCGCTCAAGATGTCAATATTGAAAAACGGCACAAAATGTCAAAATGAAAAATGGTTTCAAAATGTCAACATGAAAAACGGCTAGAAATTCCAATATTGAAGAAAGGTTAAAAATGTCAAAATGAGAAACAGCTCTCAATGTTTAAATGAAAAGTGGTTCAAATTTTCAATATGAAAAATAAAAAGCGGTCCAACATGACGAAGGAGTCAAAATTAATATAAAAAATCAAAATGTCAGTATAAAAAATGGAGCCTTGATGTCTCAAGGATCCAATGAGTGTCCGGGTTCGAATCCCAGTAATGAACTTTTTAGCAGATAATGACTATTTATTAAAATTATAATAATCTCCTACTTCACATGTAAAAAAAAAATTTCTTTTCTTTTAAATATCATATTAGATAGAATATTTTCAAAATTAATACCGCTGACTGGAACCGTTCCTAGGCTGGAGTGGAGCTGGACTAGTGGCCAAGTCCTGGGCCATATGGCTAAGGGTTTTTCATAACCTAGGTACATGCTCAGGGCTTGGAGGAAAGGAAAAAAAGTGATGACGGGTATCTATCTAGGTATTATGTATTGTGCAGTTGTACTTTGTAATTGTAATGCAATTGTGTATCATGCAATTGTTTACCGTGTGTATTATGCGAGCTAGACCGGTGGCCAGACGTGGACTATACGGTTAAGGGTTTTGCGAACCTATGTACGTGTCCACGTCTGGAGGAAAAGAAAAGAAAACAAAAGTGATGGCGGGTTGATACGGATTCTGTAGCCAGCTCACACTGACCTTAGTATTGACGCAAAATATCCTCAGTGATAGACTGCTCATGGGTTATGGAGTATTCTTTAATTTGAAAAACGTTTATTGATAAAATTTTTAATCTGAATTAAGAGAAATTTTAAAGTGTTTTTTTCTGGGGGGGGGGACTTTATATTTTACAATAATATAATTCAGAAATCTAACACCTTTTTTAGCAACTGTTAGACTGTTTTCCCTAATTAAAAAATAACCGAATGTATTTTTGCTTGTATTTAAAGCATCAGAAAAGAGATATATAAAAGAGACACGAGTATTGTAGTGTACAAAGGGATTTGTATTCAAATTTAAATAAATATATCATTTTCTATTAAACAATATTGGCCTTTAAAAAGCAAATGTTTTTTATCATTCGTACTACTAACTTTTTATTCATTCATATTAAGGACTTATATTTATATTTAAGTAAATTTTGTAGTTTTCTCTTAAAAATTGTTTGTTTCTAAAAGCTCAATGTTTTATAGAACGTGGTCACATAGAGTTTCGAAAATGAATATCGACACTTTGAAATAAAAGTAAATTCGAAAAGCCTTTTGAACGAAATTACAGCTCAGATAGACCGTAAAAACCTTTACACTCTCTGGAGATCTAGTTCACCTTTTTTTCCTTTTGCGAGGAGAAAAATGTTTTTACGGTCATCGATTGGGTTAAAATAACTTTTTTTTTTCTTGAATTGTACAGTTTCTGTGGTAGTAGATTAACACGGAGCGATAAACTTAAATCTTACTTTTATTGTTAAGCCTATAAATTTTGTGATTCGGAAATCGTTTTACGAAAAATCATCAAATTGATCCAAGATAAAGTAATAGTATACGACCCGTAATAAAAAAATTTAAAACCTCTTTTCTTTAAGAAGGTAGGAAATGAGATCTCATAATAGGAACGCATATTTGGCTAACTGATACAAATTTACTATTTATGGCAAAAGATAAGCTTTCGACTTTTTATTTGTTCATTTAAAAATCCATGAAGACTCGAGTAAAATTCATTGTGTGGAATAAATTCCATCTCTTAAAATAAATCATCTTCAAATCGCTACAACATTGACATCCTGAAAATCAACGTGCAATATATTGGACAAATTTAATAAAATTTTATCAATTAAAGAAAAATTTAAGATTATTTAATCAGTTTGTTTGCCGTTATAAGAAGATTTTCTAAGTAAAAATATAATTAAATTTATCCTCATGAGTGTTAGCTTTTAATTAGAATAAAAAAATCATAAGAAAGGTCAGAAATTCGACTCAAGTAACGTTTGGAACAAATATATATCGCATTTCAAACAATTAAATAGGTAGATTAATAGCCGAAAGCTGATTTAAAATTCAAGTCATCTATATACATCTATATACATCTATATACATAATAATAAATGCGGCTGTGTGTGTGTCTGTGTNTAGCTAGTTTTAAATACAAACATTATGAACACCTTATCTAAATAACTCAAATAAGGTACTTTCGATAATAACATAGGGTCTAATATATGCTCCAAAAGTGTCTGCGGATCATCCATTTAGTCCATTAATGTATCTCTAGTACAACGTCAACAATCAAAACCAGATTTTCAGTCCACAGCACCATCTGTCCATTGTTTGCGTGTGTATATAGAATATATATATATTCGGAGNTTGCACTCTACCCGGAATCCGGAATTTAATGTAGTAAAAATGGTATACATTCAATATTCTATTATATGATTTTATTAATTATGTTTTGGAAATGAACGTGTAATTGGAGATGAAGCAAGTGGAGGAAAAAAAGAAAATGGTGAACTTTTCCCATCTTTTTTTGAACTGAACAAACATATTATAGGAGGAAGCTATTCGGGAAAGCAAAAAACCAAATCGATAACATAGATTTCAATGGCTTATTTAAACGATCTTTACAGAATGTAAGGTTTTAAAGGGGAGCAGATGTTGCATATGATCGTTTTCGACTTAAAGCTGCTATAAAAATGAAATTAGCAAGAAGCCCCGAAAGAAAGAAAATTGGAAAAAATCAGACACAATGTACAAAAACTCGAGAAAAGAAATTAAAAGACTATTGCATTAAATTAAAGAATAGCTTTGTGGATTTGGAAGGTATGAGCAAAACTGAGCAGTTTGAAGAATGAAATGAGTGAAAAATGTATGCGAGTAGTCCTTTGTTAGAAATGCAGGGAAGCATATAATAAAACTGCAAAAAATTCTCTGGGAAAATGAGCAAGAAAACAAACATAGAATGATAACTAACAACACCGTAAAACTCAAAGGAAAAATAAATCACTGTAAATCATAGAGACTGCGAAATGAATATCAAAAGAAATACTGTGGTGAAGTGCTGTGGTAAGAAAAACAAGAGAAACTACCATAGCATGCTGGCTGAAGCTCAGAGAGGAGATGACATTGGTAACGCTAGATAGGTATAAATTATAAAACGCCAGAGAGAAAATCTCCAAAGAACTAATTGCTGTGTTAACGAAATCCAAAGTAGATAGAAGGAGAACTTTGATAAATTGCTGAATGAGGAACAGTACTCAAATTAACGAAAATATAAGATCCCCCTTTTATGAGAAAAAATCTGTACACGGGTTTTATAAATAAAATAGAAAATAGACTTAGTTGAACAGCAGACTGAAAAAAAATATTTATTCTAAGAAACATTATTGAACATTTAAAGTTGAATATATATATATATATATATATAATATATTCATAATCAGTTTATACCTAAACGTACTAAGCTTTACATTTAAACATATTGAGACACAGCTTTTTGTGCGTCCGTAAATACCTATACTATAAATAAGAATTATTGTTTTGTATGGCATTGCTTTGTTATGCTACTGAAATTTAAAAAACTGTTATCACAATAATAACTGTTAATTTTGCAGGCTCCGTGTCAGGTAGAGCTGGAGACATGGATTAACAGTATACATTCGGCATGTGCAGCGGCCTTTGCAAGGCACCGGGGTAAAACGGGGACTCTTCATTTACTTCAAGAAGAAATATTTAGACTAGAAAAAGAAATAGAGTCTGTGAGTACTGATTTTCTTTCAGAATTATTTCATATTTTAATACATTTTTGTCCTTTTTTATTTTTAGTATTATTTATTGAATTTTGTACTCTTCAAAAAATTCTGGACAAAATTACGATAAGTGCAGGTTCTTTTTAATGCAAAATCCCATTTTTACCCTAAAGATGTCACGAACCAAGAAATCTGATAGACCGCTATTTTTGCAGTAATAATTACAGTAAAATCTCTCAATCACTTAAATTGAATAAATATTACTGTAAAAATTACGCTATAATATTTTACGGTGAAAATGGATTTTACGGATGATGCATCGAAAGTACCTGTACTTTTCAAAGTGTTGGTATTGTAATTAACTTTTTTTTAGCTGCAACCTTTAAAATTTTAAAGAGCATGCAAGTAATGTATGAATAAAATTTGAATACACTCATTTAGAAATTATAGTTGAAGTCTCAAAGGTAACATTTAAAAGAAAGAAGCCCTTTGTGATAAATCTATTTTTTTTATTTATTTATTTATTTATTTGGAAATTTCTAGTGATTTCTTTTTAAAAATTTCTAATTTATTTTTTCGTGGGAATAATGCATTTTTCACGTCATTTTAGCGCTAGACTATGTACAACTTACAATTGGATAATTTTCAGTTATACAGTACATTATTTTTCAACACCAATTTAAAAAATTAACAATGATTTGGTATTTACAATACATTGTTAATATTACTGTATAGTGAAGGTACTTTGATATGTTATAGCAAAAATTGTAAAAATTCTTTATTTGCAATATAGTTACAGTAGATAAAAAAAATAACTATATTCCTTATTTTTAATATGCACTCACGGACAAAAAAAATTAGCGCAATAAGAAAGAGTCGTCAAAATGAAACGACATTTTACATACGTAATAACTACTTTGATATAAGTAAATGATTAGAAAATCAAAGAATAACGATAATCTTTGATTTTTCTAATCATTTACTTATATCAAAGTAGTCATTGCGTATGTAAAATTTCGTTTCATTTTGACGACTCCTTCTTGGTGCGCTAATTTTTTTGTCCATGAGTGTATATTAGTATTTCCTTATTTTTAACATATATTAGCAATATATAATTTCTAATATTATTACAGAGAAAAACATTATGTTAAAATTATCGTAATGGCATTTATGGTTGGGTAATAAAACCAAAATATAGGGTATCTAAGCTATTCATTCGGTAATTTTTCAGTATGGTAACATTTTACCGGAAATTCTCAAAATTATAGTTTTTATTGTATAAAAATGCAAAACTTTAAAGCAAATTAAACCAAATAAATGATTTTTACTCGATATTCTAATTTATCTTAATAAAATTACCAAATTTTACCACATTCACAATCAAATAGCATGACAAAAAATATTTTTTATTATTAATTTCGACAAAAGTCTTTAGTAAAACTTTTTTACCACATTCTGGAAGTTTTGATAATATTTTTTTCTCAACATATGACAAGTTATACGGTTCTGTAGGATTGAATAATGATTTGTTTACAGGAGATTCGCTATTTACTTTTTAGTTCATAAAATTTTTCTTTATTACAACTAAACTTGTGATTCGAAATACAATTTAGTGACTTATACTTAATACCTCATGCAATTCGAATCTCACTTTAAAATAACTAATTCCTCAAAATATATCTATGCTTATCTGCAGTTTTGCGATGTTCTTTATATTTACTAGTGATTAAATACGACAAACCACTATTTGGCGCCTTCTGACTCTATACCTTTATTTTGAATCGATAACTTTGCTTCTCTAGTTTTTACCTCATTTAAAGACTAGAGAAGCAAAATTTACAGATATGGCTTTTAATTTTTTTACCATACTTGAAATTATTAAAATTTTCAATGCAAATACAGGGTGTTTATAACTAACGATGTACTGTCAAGAGACTGTAAAAGAAAGTTTTACAGTCTTTACCTCTTCGCCTTAGCTTAACCCAGCCATCGCTGGGATTCGAACCCAGTTCACCTCATTGGAGGGCGAACACTCTATGCTATAATAGATAGTAAAAAGTCGGCTATGAGTCCCCAGTAGAAAAAGAAAAGAACATAATTACCTATTGAAACGCCGGGTAACAGGAACTGTATGTTCCCCATCTTTTTTACAACAAGTATATGCATTTAAAATTAAATTACAAGTGCCATTTGTTAGCTTTCCTCAATTATCATATCTTTTAAAGCATTTTATTTTTAGTACAGAGCATCTATCAGTCAATTTTTGAATTATTTCACCAAAAGTATATCTAATGATAGTCACAGTGGCTCTTTCATACGCTACTTTTGAAAATGTAACTTAAATTACAAAAACCTACAGCAAGAAAAAATAATAATAAAAATAGTGGACATAATCCAAAGTATCCGCGGTATATTGTTTTATGATATTGGATTTTGACAGCCCTCTACTTTTCCTACCTGTAACAAAATAGCATTCAAACATTCTATAATTGATTAAATGTGTTGTTGCAGGACTCCCGAATGAAGCACATGGCGGAACTACAACTGACCGTGGTGGCTGACTCGGACAGCAGGCAGTCACTTACCGGTCAGATCGGACAGTGGGAGGAGAATCTGGAGCGTCTCCACTGTGAACAATTCAGGCTCAGGTGCTACATGTCCTCTCTACAGAATTCCGAACTTCCTAATCCGAAAGTGAGTTTTCATCTTCAGATATACCTTTCAAATTACGTCATCGTAAGTAAATCGTGGCCAATCAGATTCGATACACCCGCGTGACGTCTTTTACAGGTATTTAATTAAATCTGATTTAAATCACATGGTTAGGCAGAATTACTTCACTTCTTCTCGAGTTGCAAGTAACCAATGAGATACCTGCAAGGGACATAGTGGGGATATCTCGATCCTGATGAGTTGTTGAAACGTAGAATTAGTTTTCGTAAGCGACTGTTCTTCTTATTCTATTTCGAGTAAGCTGAGCCCGTCAAGTATCAATTCTCTCAAATAACACAATCCATATTCCTTCACAGCGATTTCAATTCCTTCATTATATATTTCTTACTTAGCACAAAAAAGACACGAAGCCATGTAAAACATTAACTAATTATGCATCGAAGCTGCTAGGTACACAGAACAAAAATATATCACGTGTACAATAAAATACATAAACAAATAATTAAATCTAAGTAAAAGACGTAGACGAGAAGGAATTATATTTCAGCAAATTCAGTGTACGAGATACTGTGTTTCATTTAATTAACATTCTATTTTATATGGAGAAACTTAGCTCAACTTGAATACGCCATTTTGCTTAAAAGCGATCAGCTGGTGTTGACATCATAAGTCACATGTGTGGGTATTCGTGATCTTTTTCTTCCTAAAAAGCAAGAACAGAATTACGAATGGTTGGAAACGTTTTTTAATAAATGAATTTAGTGAGAGTTTCAACGTCATAAATGACTCATTTTATGTAATTTTGATGTTGGAATGGACAGTACATCTCACGAAAATATTTGATTGAACATGCAAAAAGTAGAAATAAAAATTTTATATACTTTGAGAATTTAATTTTATACGTTTTATATTTCTGAGAATAATTTTGTTCCAATAAATTGGTTACTTTTTATTTAAAAAAATTTCATTTTTCTCTATTTTCCTCTGTTTTTGAAATATTTAAATATACTTATTTTTTTAAACATATAACATTAACTTGTCCAGCAATAATCTGTTCTTCATTTCTCAGAATTACGATAAACATTCACGAATGTAACAGAAAAACATCGCATATGTGTGACTAATGGATTTAAGTAGGGGAGAGTGGGGTCAATTGTAACAGGGTACGATTGTATCAGAGCAAAAATTTCGAGTGTCGGGTTCTAGATTTGGTTCCTAGGTGGCGCACAAGGTGTATTTAATAAATCTACATGTACACCCCTGCTGGCAACCACTTCTATGTACTTTTGAAAGAGTTACATCACAAATGGTATTTTCACGCTGCGGTACTTTTTTTTGGTATTAGAATATTATATCGTAACAAAGTAATTTTGTTTAAACAAATAAAAATTATTAACCGAATATGTAAGTGGACACCTTAATTAACATTTCAANAAAATGTTATATACTTTGAGAACTTGATTTTATACACTTTATATTTCTGAGAATAATTTTGTTCCAATAAATTGGTTACTTTTTATTTAAAAAAATTTCATTTTTCTCTATTTTCCTCTGTTTTTGAAACATTTAAATATATTTATTTTTTTAAACATATAACATTAACCAAGCACCATTTAAAAAAGGTTAACTTGTCCAGCAATAATCTGTTCTTCATTTCTCAGAATTATGATAAACATTCACGAATGTAACAGAAAAACATCGCATATGTGTGACTAATGGATTTAAGTACTGATTCACACGTAATCCTCTAAAAAAACATCACTGTGATTTTTTTAATTAGGTAGTATGCACATGCGAAAGCATATTTCTAAAAGTTCAAATTGAAATTCTTTGAAATTTTGGTAACAAAATTTGACTAAACGTGATTGAAATAGCTAAAAGAAACAAAACTAGTTTAAAACACCATCATTAAAAATAAACAAAGCAACGTTTACAGCTAAGTGTCTATGGGTTTCCTGATCAAGAGTGCATTTTCAACTGTCCGAGGATCGTTTTCCGCGAAACTTGTCATTTAGTTTTATGCAGATGATGTTTCTAGAAATTTGAATTAATATTTGCTATTGAAATAGGTTAAATGAAACTTCTTAAGAGTAGGTGTGAAAAAATGTTCCTTATTCAGTTATTTTCAGCATTTTCAGCTATTTAAGTAGTTTAACTCGTACCATTGATTTATCTATCATTGTAAAATCTATTACTTAGTTATTCTGAGTATAGTCATTGTTTAAATTGAACTTACCGGTTGCTTTATAAAATATGCTAGCGCTTAATAGTTGCTTGCTTTCTAATGTTAGTTAATAAAGGAAAGTGTTATTGTTATATGCTTTGATATGTTCCTCAAATTTGTGATGTTGTTCTTGTAGAGCTTACTGACACATGTGTCGAAAGGTACGAAGAGCATATTGAACAAATTGGGTGTCTTCACTGTGTCTTCCTTCCACGCCTTCATCTGCGCTCGCAGCCCTTCCTTACTCACCAATCTACTGTCTGGGAGGGGAGCCACAAAACGGAGACCTCGCTTACCTCTCTCCAGGTCCAACAGCAGCAAGTGAGTTATTTATCTTATTTCAAGTCATTCTTTATAGATACACACAAAAAAGGGCTGAAAAAGAATAAAAGAATTAAAGAAAAATTATATTAACAAAGAAACCAAGAAGAAAAAAATTTAAAAAGAAGAAAAAATACTTTTATAAATAAAATGTTTAAAATTTTAAATGAAAATTGAAGGGCCGGAAAATGAAACAAGGAAAAAGATATGATCCCGTCATCAGCTCACACGATTATATCCGCAAAATGGAGTGCTTTCTAACATTGCATTAATGTAGCCGAAGTAAAATTTATCAAATTAAATTAAAGTTGCTTTTAAAACCTTATTTCCAGTTTAAATTTCATGTTATATTTGAAAACTTGAAGAATTTGTTTCCATTAAAAGAGTTAAACATAGTTAAAAGTTGTAATTATAATAAAATTCTTGGTTGAACTATTTTTAATTATAATGATATTAACAAAAATTTAGAAAAAGGAGAAGATCCGATTATGAATGTCTCTGTGAAGAAGAAAAATATTTTAAATTGCTAGTGATTTAAATATTTTAATGTTAAAAGGAAAACAGTGTAGACCCATTTACCATATATCAATTAGTAAAATTCTAAAATACGTTCTTAATGATATCAATTTTTGTTAAACGATATCAAATAGATTCTCTTTACCTGTAAGTATGTTAACAGAATGGAAATGGGCTGCTTATTATTACTTTTAAAACTTTCTTTTAATAATAGGGATAATTTAAATAACAGAAACAATTCAACAAATTTTTTTAAAATTGATCGATCACTTAAGAAACTTCAAAAGAATTTTGTAACTACCCCTATAGACAAAGCTAAGAACAATTATGCAATCTTCTGCAAAAAAAATTCTATGTTGGACATTTAAATAAGGAGTAAGAAAATGGTATAAATTTTTCGCTTAGTAATTTAAATAATTATAATAATATCATTAAAAAATTTAGTTTACTCTAACAGGTTAAAATTAATAATATACAATTTCCATGCTTAATTATCAGTCGAAATATTTCATAAAATTCCTATTAAATTTAGAACAAAAACTTAGGTGTCTAATACTTACTTAACTAAAGCTGGCATTATTTTCTATAAGTACTTAAATAAAATTACTAACAATATTATTAAGGAAGATGTTTCTTGGATTATCACTAATAATCTACCCATTTCAGAACTTATTAAACGAAATAAAATTAATTCTATCGCGACTTTTAATTTACAAAGATCTCTTCAATAGCATTTCCCTTTCCTAAACGAAAAGATGTTTTTTTTACTATGATTAAAAAATATCCATCATTACGATTTTAATTATTGGGAAATTCTAATTAATATTTCTCTTTTTAATAATTATCTTTACAATGGAAAACGTATTTTTGTTCAAATAAATGGAATACCACAAGGATTCAAGTTTTCAACACTTCCAGTTAACTTATTTAAACACTTTTATGAAAAACATTTCACTCCTAATATTAAATTTGCCTTTAGATTTACTTATGATTTAATTATCTATAATTTTTAAAATTATACATTTTGTTACGTAATATTTACCTCGAGGAATTGATCTTGCTTCGTAATCATGACGATAACATTAATTTTATTTTTCTGATTTTAAGTATTAAAAGAAAATATCCACATTACATCATTGACTTAACGGTAAAAGGATTTATTTTAAATTTAATATAAATAAACTAATTACATGAAATTCTAATTTTTATAAAAAACATTTTTTTAAATACTATTTTATCAAATAAATAGAATTAAAAGAATTTGTAGTAATGCTTATTCATCCGAAAAACAAATCGACAAATTCTTCTAAAATTATCCAACTAATGTAATCAAATTCTATATAAAATCATTGAGCTAATGTGTGCGTTATCATTATTAATAAATTTATAACAAACTTCTTTGTTAACTAATTTTATATTTTTACCAAATCCAATTCAGACAAACCCGTGGCTTCTAACATTTAATGAATTTTTTTCTGTAAATGCTAATAATTTCTTTAAAAATCATCAAAATTAAAGTTCGACCTTTCATTAATAACTTTGAATTATCCATTTAACTGTATTTGTATCAAAAAAATGAATAAAAAAAACCATATAAACTAAGATCTATTTGGAAGAATCTTTCTAAATTTAATTGTTTTTGATATTGCTCAAAATTCCTTGAATGATCAACTGAAATCAAAATAAATGGAAGCAAGTCATTTGTTTTTCTTTTTCCTTCCGGTTAATAAACATAAATTCGAAATTACACAGCGCTTGTATTCCAAGAAAATATATTCAAACTAAACCAGCGTATAATTGAATCGGGAGATTGAAACAAATCCAAATCTTCTGTCCTACATTCGATTCAACAAAATATACTTCAGTCGCAATCATTGAAATTCATTTCCTTTGTACGAGAAGCGGATTTTAAATAACGGAACAAGTTTTGTTTACCTTTATTTGTCATTTATTGTGAGTAAATAGCAGCACATTATGTTGGGTATTACATAAAAAGGTTACGTTTAGGAGACCGATAGTTTCGTGCCCTAATTTGTTTTTAAAAAAGAAACCAAGCTAAGTTAAAATCTCATGAGCTCAACGTTTTGAGTCGAATCCATAGAGTTAAACGTCGTAAAATTGCTAACAGAACGTAGGAAAATTTATGAAAGTATCGTTTCTCGTTGTTCATCAATCAAATCAACAACTCTAATGAAGAGAGATGATTATAATATTAAGGAGATATCGCACTTTTGCGTCATCTTCCGTATGCTCCAGTACGTAAGATTGAAGCTACTGCGCATGCTCTCATTTATTTCAGATGCTACATATCTCTACGTTATGTTGACGTGATTCACGCTGCAGATACAAAGCTACAAGTTTATAGCTGTTAAATGTTGTTTTCTGTTTAAGCCTTTTCGAACTAAAAACATCATGGAATGCGAATTCGAATAAATGTATTGATGAAATTTCGAAATGAATCATGTGATCTTACAAGAATTGCTTCATTCAATAAAAAAATAATTTTAATGGTTTTTGTTTAACATTATGGTTGTCTAATGGCACTAGTTTCACTTTAAACTAAATATATTTTCGCTATTTTAATATTATAAATTATATTTATTTTAACAATACAATTTAGTTAAATAAAGTTAAATAATCAATAGAAGTTCAATAATATTGTTTTCAATATTAATAATAATAATAAGCTGCATTGCTGAATTCATCAAAATCTGTAATCTACCAAATTTTCCTGCTAAATTTTCCTTCTCAAATTTTCCGCCCGCAGTTTTGTGTAAAGTAAAGCATTTCGAATCGTATGCCACAGCTTTAAAGAGATAGTCTACTTACAAGTTCGATACAAGTTCCGGACCCAGCTCGCACCGCCCACTTTTCTTAATCTTAAATTAAAGTTAACGTCTTAAATATGAATTATTACTCACGAAGCCTATCTTATTTTATGATATTGTTAAGCCATAAGTAATTGTAATAAGTAATAAAATAACCATTCATTTTAAACTACTATTCTTTAAATAAAAATACAATAACATCACATTGATTCAAAATGTTATTTCTCCAAAATATCGCATAAGACACTAAAAATTGTTTTGCTTATCTGTCTTGTTTTTTAGAAGATCCCTCAGCCTTTCGGCTAATTCAAGCCAAAGCACAGAGCTTCCTACACTGATCGGTCGAACTGTCAAAGTGCTTCTTCCAGAGGGACAGGTAACAGTACTCAATTTTTTTTTAATAATATTTTGTTTAGCTCAAAATTAATAATTATAAGTAATTTAATGAAATTTGCTTATAACGAATTTGTAAGATTGTATGATTTACAAATTTTATAAACTCAGATATAACGTCAGATAAAAGCAAAATTAACTATTAATTTCAGATGAATGTATTCATAAAACATAAAAAAGTTTAAGTAAAGCTTTTTTGCATAAAAAAAAATTCTAAGCAATTAATTTAATATGAATGTTCCATGAAACATAAAATAGTTTTGGTTCAGATTTTTTTTATGTAAAATGTCCAGTAAAAAATACTTCAATCTGTATGAATTTAAAAAAATAAAATAAAGAACTTAAAATGAAGCAAAAAGTTACAAAATGATGTCTCAAAATGAATAAATTAACTTAAAAACTTCATTCGCTTCAAAAATATGCAAATCGGAAATAAAAATGTTTCAAGAGCTCGAAAACAGGCACCCGTTTTCAAAACTTGCCAGACGTAAATGAGGAGAATTAAAAGTTCCTTACTACCTCTCCATAGCACGTGGAAATGCATTTTACCTTGATTTGCCTCATTTGGCCTCTGAGATTTTTCTTGTTCTGTTTTTTTTCTCTTTCTCGGTTACTGTTGTTTTTCTAGTTATGTTTCCACTTTTATTTTTCCATTTTTTATTGGCTACTTCATTTTTTTTTTAAATTTCAAATCACTTTTTCTTCTCATTCACATCAGACAAGTCTTGAAAATCCCCGTCTGTTTTTGAGCGCTTGAAACATGTCGACTGTTATTTCCAGTTTGTACATTTTTGAAGCGAAGGAAGTTTTTAATCGAGTAATATCTTGCCGTTTCTTCGGGATTATTTATTTAATAAATCAAATGACTGTTTTCACATTTCTTATAAAAAAAATTTTAAAAAATGAAAAGAAATTATTTTTGAGTTTAGAGTACAGCTTAAGTTACGAAAACAGTTTCCATCAAACACGAGAATATTCCACGGTGTTTGGAGAAAGTATTTAAAGCAACCTATTTTTGAGCGGAAAACACTAAAAAGGGTTTGATGGATTTTTTTCTGATTTCCATATCTATTATCACAGATTTGTTAAGCAAGAGATTTATCTAGAGCTTATATTTTCCTTTAACACCGCTGTATATTCCGATGGGAGTAATCTAGGTATGGTCCATAAAAATATAGAATAAGATTAATAATAATTCGCATACTTCCGAATTGTAGTTTATATCTTAAATGGGTCGTCCACTCCGTCATTTATTTTTAATGGAGGAAACGAAAAAAAAAATAATGGGCTGTTTCTTTCTCTGTTATTATCATATATTATACTTTGCCCAAAGAGCATTTGCAACTGTACCCAATACCTAGACATTGTATACAGTACCTTGATAAGGTATAAAATAATACTTTGCCAAAAAAGCATTTGTCATTGCATACAATGTCCAGTCTTTGCTTGCAATACCTAGACATTGTTGCAATGCCTGGTCATTGTATAAAATGCTTAGCTATTATATACAATGCTTTGAAAAAGAGCATCATTACAATTTGCCAAAAGCGCAGTTAACATTATATGCAATACCTTGTAATTGTATATAATACGTACAAGCACATTGTATATTGTATACAGAGTCGTGGTGGCTCAGGGGATAGAGCACTCACCTCCCAATGGGGTGAGCCAGGTAATAAATAATATTCTTCTTCTTCTTTTCTCAGTCTGTGACGGTGTGTGTTCGTGATAACATGACAGTAGAAGATGTTTTGTGGAGTGCTTGCCTGAAGAAACAGCTCGCCCCTTCAGATCATTTCCTGCATATCAAACAGGACAACGACAAATACTACACACCAGCTCCCACTGAACTCTTCGATCAACTGGTATTACTCTCTTTTATTTTAAATAAACTACCACTCTAAGAAAGGCATACTCAAATATCACAAAACTTTCTTCGTGTTTGACGAAACCATTTTCTGGATCGAGCGAATTTCTCGTCAAAGTGACGAAACAACTGGCGTCACTTCTTCGAGAAAACTAATTTCGTCAAAACTAAATAATTAATATTTCGCCATTCTATTTTTTATCAAAAAAAGTATCTAACTTTTCCAATTATCATTTTATCGTGGGCACTCTATAAGTGGACTAATGTCTTTCTAATAATACAAGCCGCGATGGCTCAGGGGATAGAGCGTTCGCTTTCTAATGAGATGAACCGGGGTTCGATCACGGCGATGGCTGGTCGATACGAATTCCGCATCCGGCTTGCACCGACCACAATACTGACGTGAAATATCCTCTGTGGTAGACGGATCATGGATTAGAGTCCCCTTGCCGTCAGGCTAACCGTGAGAGGTTCTCTTGGTCTTCCCCTCCATGTAACGCAAATGCGGGTTCGTTCCATCAGAAAGTCCTCCACGAAGGCAAATTTCTCCCAATACTTGATCCAGGAGTTTCCTTGTCTTCTGGATCGGGTTCAAAATTAACAGGCTACGGAGTTGAATATTCGTAGTCGTAAACCCATAAAATTGAGTCGGCTGTTTAACGACGGTCGTAGAATATAAAATAACAATACAAGAAGGACAGATCGAGCACATACCCGTTCTCAGCGTCTTCCTGGTACGAGACCTTGACCACCATACAGTCCGATCGGCTTAATTCGTCACTTTATTATCGATCGTCTAGTCTTCATTCAAGTTTCGTAATTCTTGTTGACCAACTGCCACAATGCACCAGGAGCATTTTTCTAGTTGAAGAAACATTTTCGTCATGTATGTGAGAGTTTGCATTTCGTTACAAATCACGTGATTTCGTGACGAAATTATTCTTCAAATTAACGAAACTCAAAATGCTCAAGGACTGCTGAATTGTCGAAAGTGAGAGCTGTCTTTCTGAGAGTGTAGTCGACCGATTTCGCTTAAATTTTGTATTTCCTCATATAAAAATATATTCTTTGAAACGGTGTAAAAATTTATAAACCTTACAATAAATTCAAAATTGCTTTGACAATTATTAAGTAAAATGATAAAATAATTATTTAAAAAAGTTATTTTTTGCGAGGAATTATTTAATTGTGTGTAATGCAAATTTTTTAATTGTGTGTAAGGGATTTTCGTTTCACTTAAAAAGAATCAAACTAAACTAAACAAAATATTATCCTGAGTAACTTTTGTTCTCATAAACGGATTTACACAAATGAAGTGCCAATCTTTATGGTTTAAAGTTTTTAATTCAAACAAGTTAAGTACTTAGTTCTAACTGTTAATTAAGTTACGGAATCAGCCACAAAATCGTACTTTCTCTAAATACATATGCCTTTATTCAATGGATTTGTATTTTTTCCCAATGAAATGTGAACGGGATATTGAATTCGCAAAAGTATTGTCCAAATAGTTTAGGCTTAAGAACTGTCAAAAATTTGGGTCCCTATTGTAAGTTGCCCGTTTAACCACCACTCACTTGCAACAATGTTGATAAAAAAGTCATCTTATATTCACCCTATATATAAAGAAAGAAGGTGAAGGATGTGTTTTAATTTTGTATCAAGGACGTGGCAAGGACATGGTATGAATAAAACATATAATCGATGTTGAAATAATGCCAATGAACAGGTGTTCAATAAATTTGATGAAATCCTATTGGAAAGAGACTATTTTTATATATTTAAAAAATAGAAGATTTTCCATTGGTCTTGTAACTTTCACATTTTACTTAGATATAATGACCCATAACAAAAAATATAATGTAGACAAGAATTTTTTTTAAATGTTACATTTTGCAAACTAAACTATTAAACATTTCAATTTTTCATTATTTTCGTAGCAGTCATTCAATATGATACTCGTCTACTTTTGTACTTTAACTGTTCAATTCTGTATTAATATTATGTGTGTATCTTATTCATCGCGTGAGACTAAATTTTATCCCATTGTTTACACCAAATAGTGTCATAAATCACTTTTTTAAATAAATAATTCATTTTCAGATCTTTCAGATTTCATTTTGTTGCCATTTTTAAAACTGAATCTTCATGTTTTAGGTCACGAGAACATCATTTGTTTTATCCCTATCTCAAAAAAAAGACATCGAAATGAATATATTACTCTGTGCGTGACAGAAAAGAAAAGATAAGGGGGAGAGAGAGACATATCAATAATAATGGCACAAATATAAAAACGGCATAATCTTGCTCTTTCAATTTTAATGATGAGAAAAAATGAAAGCCAATTTCCTAAAATAAGATTATTTAAAGTAATTTTATATAAATGATTTATTAGTGAAATAAGCATAAATAAATTATATATAATAAGGTTAATGGTCAAAACTTACTTTTTAAAGCTGCATGCAGGCAAAAAATGAACATTTCATCGGTGAATTTCGGAAAAATCTGGACTCGGCTCGAAATGCGTTTTTATGAAAATGATGCTCAAAATGTGTTTTTAAGAAAATGGGCATAGCTCGAAATGGGTGTTTACGGAAATGAGCGCTACTCAAAATACGTGTTCACAAAAAATGCGCCTTTTCAGTTTTCAACTCATATTTAACAACAAAAGTTTAACTCCTTGCTTATTTAGCCACTAAGCATAATCATTACAAAGGCTGGACTTCGGGGTCATGGAAGTTATTACAGATGTAACTTATCAGGCATCTCTTCGCATTCAGAATACTAAAAAGTTTAAAAAATTTAAATTTTTACAACGACAATCTAATACCACAATAATAAATTTATAGGAACTTATAAAAAAAGCTGTTGATTTTTAATATCTCTTCAAAAAAAAAGATTAATTTTTAAAAAAATATGCTATGTGACCTAGAAAAATGGACGGCATCACATGCTACCTTAAATTTTAATGGTCCGTGCCAAGTTTTCTTCATACCTCATCTAAGCTACTTTAAGAACGATGAGAAAATTATCAAATACAGGAAAGAAAATATTTATATTTTAGTAAAAGTGTTATATTATTATACCTATATCATTATTAAGTGGGTATATTATTATTAATTAATTAATTAGAATTAGAATTTCCATAAGCAATTATAATTATAATTTTCATTCCTTTAATTGATTAATTACAATAATTTATAATTAATTTAAAATACATTATCCATAATAATTTGTAATTAACTTAATTATATTTATTTACAGTTAAAACAATAAGTATTTATAATTAAATTAATTACACATACGGTTACAGCAAACAATAATAAGAATGATAAAAATGATAATGATTTTCGATGATATAAACTCTGGACCCAGTCAGTAAGAGTGATATGCAGCTTATAGGCGTCATTGGTGCGTTAAAGGTTATTACTTTGAAAAATAACTGACAAAAAGAAGACGAAAATACATATTTTTCCTGGCTTGAGTCAAACAAGAAGTAAAGTCTGTGACAAAAATTTCACAGCATCGTGCCTCAAATACTAATCGGTAGAAATAATATACAATCACTTATTTTTCCGCATCAGCAGATTTGATTCTCAAAAATTAGAAAACTAATGAAGTGTCATTGTAGGCGTATGAAACGGTAGAAATCTGTGCCAAAGTCCTCTACCAAGTGGAACTCCTACGTTGCAGCCTGGAAGTTCTTTTCGGGTTTGGCGTGGAAGCGGAACTAATAGAGAACGCTGACCATCAGGACGAACTCTGTGTCTATGTGAGCAGAGTAGAGGAGAACAGCCAAGCTTGGGAACAAGGTAAAATAACATTTTAAAAACTATATTAAAAAAATGAAAAAAAAATTGTTTTACTCAAAGATAGAACGGTTTTTTTCTTATTTTGTTATCTTTATACAGTTGCTTTAATTCTTGCAGCAATCGTTTCTAAAAGTTATTTTTAGGATCCAAAAGCCGATTAATGGCTTATCTATATTCCTCATAGTGCTTAGATCTTTTTTCGGCACTTATAGATTTCGCCGTTGCAGGGCAATGAAATCGCCGATGAAAAAGCAACTGTTCTTTTTGTTTTGTTTTGTTTTTTTTTACTTTTTTTTTCAATTGAATAAGTAAAAAATTAAAACAAATAAATAAAATAAACTCAATTTACTTGCGCCGGCAAAATAAATCAGTACCTTTTTTCGAAAATCAATTTTATCCTTTGTACGACGCTATTTCTAAAAGATTTTACGTAGTATATATTGATTTCGTTACTAATCCCCCTTACAGTCAAACTAAAGGAAGTAAAACTTTTTTCCTAAGCTTTCTAAACATATTTCGTAAAAAATTTCCTTAACAAATTTTCATAAACATTTTTTTTATTTTTTTTATAAGGATACGCAAGCTAATGCTTAAACCATGAAAATAATTGAATTAATAATTCCCAAATAAACATACTGAATACTTTATGCAATAACGTAAATGAATTTATTCTGCTAATTGCATTAAAATTTAAGAAAATCACTGAAACATTAATTTTGGTGTCACATATTGGCTACTAAAACTCCGAATCAACTTAGAATCAAGATGTGCATTTTATAAGTAATAAGCTGTCTACTCGAAAATTATTTTAAATCCGTTAGATCGGCCCATTTCCAATTCATCTGAAGAAAATGAAGATTTGATTCGTTATGAATTTTGGCTGTTCTAAATTCAAACAAGCACGTAAGTTCTTATGTAATAAGATAACCGTTCTTAAAAAAAATTACCCTGAATAACTTTTGAATTAATGATCGTGTTTTTACGTACTAAGGTTCAGTCTTACTGGTTTCAGGAGGTGACTTCAAATACGCTGAAAAGTGCAGACAATGTTTTAAGTTATGAAATCAGACACAAAATAGTGCTTTTTCAGAACAAACAAACCTTTTTTCGACGGATTTGGATTCCTTACTCACAAAATATTAGGGCTAAAAGAATCTGGAAAATATGGCTCCAACTGTTTTCTATATTCTCTATTAATATTTTAGTCAGGAAGAGGTCCAAAGTTTCGGATTCCATAATATAATTTCTACTTCTTGTGCATTTCGTTAAATATAGAGAAAATTTTAAGCAATCTGACCAAAAATTTCGTACATTCGAAAATTCATTTATCCAAAATAATTACATACAGAAAATATTTTATTAATAATTATTTATTATTCATCACTTTATTAAGCAGTAGTCAAAAAAATTTTTAATTGTAAGGTATACTGTTTTCTACATCACTTTAAAGAATGTAATTTTAAATGGCAAAATGCAAAATTTGATAGAAATTGGCCGAATAGTTCCTGAAAAATACAATTTTAAATGTTCGACTTTTCCAAATTTCGTTTTCTGTGGAATTTCAATTTTGTATTTTACCATTTAAAATAACATTCTTTAAAATAATGAAAAAAATGTTTACCTTATAATTAAATACTTTTGACTATTACTAAAATAATAAAAAGGAATAATTAATTAATACAAATTGTTTTTGCATGTAATTATCTTTAGATAAACGAATTTTATAATTGTGATCCAAAAATTTTCAATTCGCTTAAAAATTTCTCAAGATATAACGAAACACGCAAAAACGGAAATTAACATTATGGAGTCCAAAATTTAGACCGCTCTCTTGACCTAACCACAAATTTTCCAGATTGTGGCTACCCTCTGTATTTTGTAGATGCGGAATCCGTATCCGTTGTTAAAAAAAAGGTATGTTTATTCAGAGAAAATACGTTTTTGTGTCTGATTTCATAGCTAAAAATATCGTCTGCACTAACATATTAGCATATTAACATGGATATCAGCATATTTGAGGTCAACTTCCTTAACCATTTAGATTGAAGCCTAGCACGTGAAAATCCGATCATTAGATCAAAAATAATTAAGGTTGATCTTCTTTCTTCTTCTTTAGCGCACTATTACTGTTTCAATTAAGTGTAGTTGAATAATATATGTTTAATGAATGCATTGTGAAATATCCCTAATTCGAACAATTATTATTTTCAAGAAGAATACTTGAAAATGTAATGGGGAGAAAACAATTTTTTTTTAAATGTTAAGATATCCAAAGTGTTTGTTCACATGCTGGTGCAGCTGTGTTATGTTACATGTAATTTAAAACGCCCTCTCGCGGTTTCTGATAACGTTAGTTATCCCATGTTCCTACGCAATTTTTGATTAGTTTGTATGTTTGCTTTACCCACGGTACTTTGAAACTTCCCATAGATTATTTATATAGGGTTAGCAAGACAGTAATTTCGGTTTTTATTGTGAAATAAAACTCAATACTTTCCACACATAATTGAATTTTGATTATATAAATATCTTATATTCTGTTCGATGACCTCTTGTCATCTTTGACTTAATGATCCTTATAGAACTTATGATTTTTATCAGCAAAACAATTCAGAAAGGTACCATTTGAATTCCTCATTATTACTAAACTTTTTATCTCTAAAAAGGTTTTGTAGTCTTTGATATAAATGATCGTGAAAGGTCAGGGTTATGTGGGGTTCACCAATCGCAAAGGAATCGTGTTCCAACTCGACACTACGAAGTTTCACACATTTTTAGAAACACTTACAAAATTATTGGAGCTTGGTTAAAAATTGATATCGCACTCCCATATAGCCCCGACTTTGCACCGTGGAATTATCCCTTATTTCGAAGTTCACAGAACTTTTTAAGTGGTGAAAATTTTAGTAATAACCTTAGATTAAAACTTAATTTTTTTGTATAGAAAATCCGAAATTACTTTCTTGCCAATCTAATAATATATTATTAAATAAATTAGGGAGATAATCATTAATACAAAGTATGAGTTTATTCAGTTTTTTAAGTTCCATGCGTTTTATTTAAATTAAATTGTAAAATTAGATTTCATTCGAGTGGATTATCTATTTTTTTTATTATTATTCATTAATGGTCTGATTCTAGGACGAACTCTAATGACCTTGTGTATGAAATATTACGGCAATAGTTACTAGTATTTTGCTCATAGAAAATTTTGTTTGCGATATTTTGTTCACATAGGTTCGATCCTGCAATAAGTTTATCGCGTAAGATTCTGCCTCGCATAGTTTTAGCGTGAAATTCTATACTATCATACGATATTTTGCCAGTGAGATTTAATAACATAATAATCTGCCAGCGTGAAATTCTGTCTCGCAATGCAATATGCTGTCTCAAGATTTTTTTTCCGCCTGAGATAAGATTCCACTATAATTCGTCAATGTAAAATTTTGTCTTGTGATAATGTGTTAGCAGGAAATACAGACCCATAACATTTTCTTCACGTGAAATTCTAGAACACGATAATTCGTCGACGTGAAGTTCTGTCTCCTAGTGTTTGCATGAGATGCTGCTACCCCATTATCTTTTGTTCGCGTGAGGTTTCTGTCCCCATGATTTTTTGATCTCAAAACGATATTTTGTCTGCTCGTGATTTTGCCTTGCAATATTTTGTGTTTTTAAGATTCTATCTTACGGCACTGAAACCAAACATCAGATGAGATTTTAATTTTTTATTTTATATATTTATCGATGTTAAAACATTTTATAAAATGACAAAATATTATAATAAAGCTCTAATTTAGCAAAGGAAGAATAGTTTGAAAACTCTGAAGCATATATACTTGTACAAATGATATTTTCCGACACGACTCCACTAACTATCCGCGGAATTTGCGTATCTATTATAATTCTCAATTATCCGGTCTAGCCACGGATAATTGAGATTTGAGAATGCTTTATTATACACATTAAGTACATTCACACATAATGGTTCAATTTTGAATTCAAATACGGTGCAAATTTGCCTGCAACCTTAATAAGATGTAAAATTGAACCATGTTTCCTTTCAAATTTAACCGTCATCGGGTAATAAAGTTACGTGGTTTATCTTAACACAAATACTGAAGTTGCACAAAATTGAACGATATTATGGTTCGACAGGTTTAACAAATGCATGGTAAATTTGCACTGAATATCAAGAAGTTTGTATTCAGTATTCTATGCTGTGTCCATTGAGTGATCCAACAATTGTGTTTGCAATAGGGCTGATGAAAGGTGACGAGATAATGGTGATTAACGGTGCCATCGTGAGTGACTTGGACATGATGTACATCGAGAGCGTTCTCCAAGAGGAACTGTCCCTCTGCATGATGATGAGGTCAGCCCGTCTCGAACCTCCCGACATGACAGGAGTGATCCTGCGCACCACAGACGATTACATCGAGTCTCTGGTCTGTCCACCACCTCCCTCGGACTCTGCCATCAGCGAGGAGATGATTGACAAGCTCATAGTCCCCTCACCCCTCTACGGTGAGTCAATCTGGTGTTCGATCTTTTTTTTGTATGTGCGAAGACGTATGCACCCTACTCATTTGATTCATTGCCCTTTTAAAATTAATAGCACTTGAATGAAATATTAATATTTTTATGACGATCAGATCAAGTGCACGATTATAGAAAACAATCCGTGATGATGTTATACATTCCTCTCACTTCAGGATTTTCGGTAAGACTTAGGTAGTTGTAAGTTCAAGAAAAAAATAAAATAAGATATAATTCAAAAAATAGTTTTGATATTTCATTAAAATTTTTTAAGACCTATTATTCTTAGGCCATATTATGACGAATTAAACTGCTATGGCATCTCTGTAAACTATAATATTCTTAAAAATAAAATGTTTTGATCACTTACACAGACAAAGCTTGTCTCAAAAAATGCAGTAAACAAAGTATTTATCATTTTGTTATGCGATCATTGTTTTTGTCTTTAAAAAAAACTCTCATAATTAATGTTAATACGTTAAAAAATACCTCCATTACAATGTGCGTTGTTTCTTTAAATCGAAAAATATTTCTAAAATATTTCTTTTTTTTAAACTTCAAATTTTCAAACAATTTCATTTACAGTTTCATCAGTCACAGTTAGATATATTTTTACTTATATTTTATACACATATATTTAAGTATGTTTTTTTACAGAGTTAGATATATTTTTTCATGTAGGCCACATATATTTTTCCTAGTCATATAGGGTGATGGAGTGAGGAATTAAATATTTCCGTAATATATAATGAAATAAAAACAAAAACAGCATATAAACTTAATTAAATGATATTATGTACATTTTTCTGGAATGGTATAAAATATATACTTTACCCTGATCTGCAACGTCTTCATCTTCCCCTAAACATTACTTTAGAATGCATTACATCATACATAACAACTAGATTGCCAACAGCCATGTGCCAAACAAGACTTTCATCGCTACTTGACTTAATCCTCTTGTAACACTTTGCACATTTATTTACACCTGACGTTTATATCCTGTTTTATTTCATTAATATTAGATTAAAATGAATGAACCTTACTTTTTTTCGCTTTCTTGAATCACCTCGAGTGATTCTTAGCTTTTTTACCCATTGGGAAAAATGTGTTGTTCTAGGTTTTTCATGTCTACACATTTTTCAACTGGATCACCTTCCTCAAAATTTCAAAACTAAAACCGCAAATAAAGAGTTGTATGAGTCAAAACAAATTAGGCCAACAAAAGCATTAATGAAAAAAGCAGCACAAGATTATATAAAAAAAAAAGCAGACGATAAATTTGGAGCTTCTTGGAGTTCATTTTTCCCAGGCTGAGATGTTTATTTTCATTTTTAATGTTTTTACACAGTATTAAAATATTTTTATATTCTTTTTGTGATTAACTTAATTATAATTACTGTCTTGGAGGCAATTTTAATATAAATATGAATACTGAAGACGGGAGAAAATTTTGTAACATCTCAAAAAATTTATATTAGCTGGAATTGGAAATCAATCCAGCCCATTAGAGAAGAGAACATACTTCAATCGATTTAATTTTTGCAACCCATGACGTGAAATGTTGTGAAGTTTATGAAAGTCTCTCCAGAAAAAAAATTGACCAATGGGTAACCAGTGTTTTCAATAATTCGATTGCAATTTTCTCTTTTAATCGTCATTATTTTATGCCCTATTATTGTTGGTACTTATCTTTACTTTTCCGACCACTGCTTTGCTAAATGCAGAACAAGAATTGTGGGGATTTACGCCTCTTTCCCATATGTAACCATGAATTACCCTATCTAAATAAAATATAGTAGTTTTAGACAATGCTTCTAAGTCGTATTTTAAATGTGCATTTTTTAAGAACTATTTGAGCAATTATATTCAAAGTTTTGGTCTTGTCATTTGATATAACATAGTTTAGAAAGATCTAAAAATGTGTATATTTTTACCCTTTTTTTACTAAAGTTTTCAGATCATGTTTTCTAGATTGTGATTCATTCTCACACCCGTTTTTTTAAAGATTGAAAATCTATCCCTTGAAAAAAAAACAGTGAAGTTTATGACAATTTTGAGTCTGGTTTTATTTCTTATACAACCGTGTATTTTAATGAGCATATTTAAGATCTGCACATTGCTAAATTAAAATTGCATAATAAATTATATATTACATAATAAATTCGACACACATAATTCTATAATAATATATAAATTTCCACTGATTGCATGCTAATGCAAATAAATCTAGTCATTAATGGATATATAATTAAAATTGCATGCTAATACGTGAAAGTCTGATCATTAATTCAAAAGTAATTTTTTTTTTTTTACACTTGGTACATCATTTGAAAAGTGAACAGAAACATTTTTTTCAAATTTAACAGAGATTTATCGATGGAAATTTTTAAAATAATGCTACAAAAAACTGCAAAAAAAAACATCGCTTCAAGAAAAATATCTTATCACTTATACTTTTTCAGGTGATATGGACAAAGAGAAATCACCAGAGACTTCTGGACGACCTACTCCTTCTCCTACTCCAATGCCTTCTCAAGACTTGTTAGCTGGACAACTCTCTGCTGAACAAATAGAAACACTCATAAAAGTGAGCCCCATTTTTAGTTTCAAAAAAATACGGATAGTGCAATTAAATAAAGGCTGCCATCACATGAAATTATGCTTCTATTACGAATAATATAATACTATTTTCAAACCGGCTGCGAGTTTGCAACTGTTATTCATGACTGCAATAGAACAAGTTTCGCCCATCTTTAAGCAGCACCCTCTGAGCTGATTTTGAAAATGATGCAAAATGCCAATACCAAAAATAACCACAGTTTTGTGGAAATTAAAATCGTTTGGGATTTACTTTTTTAATATTTGAACAATTACTTCAACGCTGTATAATATATATATATATATATATATATACCTATAAAANTATATATTACATATATATATACCTAAAAAATCGTCTGCACTACTTAATATAGCATTTTTAAAGTTAGAACCAATAAGAATGACTCTCCTAATATGTTGAAATCTGATCACTGGATCAAAAGTTATTAACGTGTTATCTATATTTTTTTTAATTTATTTTGCTTTGCGCAATTATTTGTGTTTCTTCATAAAGTTCCATCTGTATGATTGAAATGCCTTTTGTTGTGCAGACGGCAGAACAAGTAACAGAATATTGTCGAATGCCTATAGAGCAGAGACGGTTATCAAGTCTCGCAGGAAGCACTGCGAGTAGTGGTTCTAGTTCCTTCACTATTACGACGGTCACACCTTCTCGACAGCTCACGGAAGCCGAGAAGCTCAGGAAAGTCATCATGGAGCTCTTAGAGACGGAGAAGACCTACGTGAAGGTATTCTTTTGTGCTCGTCTCTTTTCTTCTTCTTTTTTGCACTTCCTTGCATTTAACGAGCTTGTTCATCTTTTTTGGTGTTTAATGAAATGTCTATAATGTATTCCATATTTATCATCTACTTTCCATCAAACATAAATGAGAAATGTGTTTCTTATCTAAGAACCTTACAAAATAACTTTCCCTATATCCTTTTTTTTTATACATAAAAAAGACAGTTTAGATGGAAATAAAGAAAAATGCTGCAATTAATATTTTTTATGCACTTAATAAAAAGCATCATGTTTCCTTTTTCCAGACAATTAACGTTTTAAGGAAATTATCACACTGGTCACCACTTCAACTAAAGATAAATAATACTCTTTTCCATTGCTATATACATAATGATTAAACATTGATAATTTTGAGTTAAAATAAAATTTACTTAAAGTTTAATATTTTTTAAAACACTATTGTCTATATTGAATAAAATTTACTATATTAAATTCATTTAAACATTTACAAAAATTTAAATATAAAAATCCCTTTTGTAATCGTATTCAAATATAATTAATGTTTTTCCGTTTATTATATTTTAATATGACTTGAAAAAATTTCTAAATGTTCAAATAAAATCTAGAATGTCTATATATAAATTATGTTTCATTAAATAAACATATTGAATGAAATGAACATGTTAAATAAAAATTGAAAACCCTCAATATCAATTACTAAAAGTACAAAGTGTCTATTTATCTTGTAAGGTAGTTTACCGTGGAAAACTACATAAACAGCTTACGTTCAAAGAAATTGCCTTAACATTCGAAGAGTTAGCCATTAATGTACGCTTCCAGCTCTTTTCTTTTAGAAAAGAAAGCCCAGTGCCCGTAAGTGTAACGAACTACAGCAAAATTAGTAGAATTGGCCGTTAATTTACTACAAAGTTACTGTCTAAAAAACGTCTAACTGAAGTCAGGGATGTAGATGCACGGCCTTTTCCTTGGTGGTTTCAGGAGCAGGCTAAGGACACAAAAGTCCCGGGTCCGAACCTAGCCGGCGCCAAAAAACATCTCTGTCGAACTCTTTCTAGATTAATGAACACACAATTCGCTCTTTTTGTGACAGATGGCAGCACTAGACATTATTTCTTCTCACGGCTAACCGTAACTACAAATCACCTGAGTCTCAAACAACGTCAAGGACCGAAGTGAAAATACCTTTTACGAGTATAACGTCAATGGCCACATATACGCGGAAAAAAATTATGGGCAGACCAGCATGGTTATGGTAGTTTTAAGGGCATTCATTTATTTTTACGATCAGTGACTGGAGCACTTTTTGTCGGTCACCCTCCTTAATCTGGAGGTGAAATTTTTTAGAGCACAATGTTTCGATGTATTCTAAAAATTAATTTCATTTAATTTTACCTGTTTAACATTCAACGTAATGATGTCAGTCATCTTTATCGCACAAACAAATAATTTTCAATGCTATGCAATTTTATTGTATGGGTGTTATTCGCTAATATACTAATTTTCAATTTAAAAAAAAACTTTTTTTAACAGGTAAAAGTTACAAAAATGTTTCTCGTACTTTAATCGATTTTGCTCGACTATAAGAAACCAATTAAACTGAATTATTAACAAACATTTTTATTTCAACTCGTTACTCTTGATTGATATAGGTTGTGAAATAGCAAAACAAATTCTAAAAAATGACTTTTTTTTACCTTCACATTCCTGTTTCTGTTAAAAATTTCATAAAACTATAAAATCTTTCAATTTTAACTGTTTACTGATCAGTTTGTTAAGCAACCATGTTTTAAATAACATTCCATGCAGCAAAATACGTTATCCTTACATTTTAGATCAGTTTTAAGTTCCGCAAATATTAAATGAAAAAATAATAATTGTGACGTTTAAAGTACCGTATAGTGTCAAAAATATTGCTGAAATGTAATTTCGAAAATGTTTTATTTCGGTTAACAATGAAATATTTCATATATGTCGTTTTTAAGATACCTCTGAGATATTTCAGAACTAGAAATATTTGAAACAGCTCAAAAATTATTTTTATGTTGGTTGCAGAAAATGGCATTTTAGAGATCAACAAAAATGTTTTTGATACATTTGTTTTTAAAAACATACTTTTGTAACATTTTTTTACTTATCTGAAACAAAAAGGTATCCTGTACATTTTTAAGAAACATTTTACCTTTTTAATATTCTTACTTATTTTTAAAAAAAATCATTTATGGTATTTTTTTTAAATTTTATCTTTGTAGTGTTTGTAACTTAGTCAAAACAAAAACGTTCCTGTTTTTTGTTGTTGTTTTTTTAAGAAAAAAGAAAGAGTACCTTTGTAACATTTGTTACTAATCTAAGAAAAAAATTGCAAATTTACGAACTTTTAATAAAATATATTTATTGAGCAATAGTATATCGAATAGTTTATCAATAGTAATTTGAACGATAGCTTAACAGATTTTTATTTAAAATCCTTGCTTATATGCTTATTTATATTATTATTTAAATATTATATTACTTATCCAAAAATTGTTATAAACTTATATAAACTAATAATTTTTGTAACAATTTTGTCAGTACGTGCACGTCATTATTTATATAAAATATTGTAATTTCTATATTTTGGGACCACCAAAAATACATTTAAAAGTCAACAAGTACATGAAAATCTATTAATAACATTCAAAACGATAACCACGCATCTTTAGCTATGAAAACACAATGTCATAATGACTTAATATTAAATATTGAGAATAAAAATGTTATGGTTGTATAATTCCTAATTTTACTTGCAGAATGCAATTATGAAATAATAACTACAAAAATAAAAAATATGTTTTATTATGTAAGTTTTTCATGAAAGTATGTATATTTAGCTTATGTATAAATGCTAATTAATGTTAGTTACTCTAAAAATGTGTAAAAGGTAAAGATCAGTTTTTTTATATGAAATTTTTATTGAAAAATAATTTATATATGTATATTTTATGTACAAAATCAGTGATGCGGTATTATCACTGATTTGAAAAGACTGTTTATTATTTAATAACGTGCATATTAATGATATTTTATTAATCGTAAATATTATTTCATTTATTTTATTCTTATTAAAACTATGAGTTTTAATTCTTATCTATTTTCTCAATTGCTATCTTAATTTCTATTTCTTCTTCACGCTTACAGGTAAATATGTGTTCCATCATCTGTTTGTTTTTATTTTTATTTAATGATATTTATTAATTTGATAATTTCACACATTCGATATTGTGTTCCTTAATATAATGCATTAAATCATGGGTGAAAATAATAGTAATATGCATGTTAAATTTTTCTCATATCGACAAAAAAAGAGGACAATTAAATTTTGTGTTTCATTTTATTTCAAATGTTTGAAAATTCTGAAAACAATAATGAAACTTACAGTGAAACTATTTTTTTCAATTTTACATAATTTTTTCAATACTTCAAATGCGTAGTGACACTTTTTTAATTACTTACTTTGTGCCTAACCAACAGAAATTAATAAACAATTTTAGTTATTGCAAATAGGAAAAAAATACACTTTATATCCATATCCAAAAATATGTAATTAAGGTGAAAAATTTAGTTTACCTAAAAATTATGTCGTACGAATTTCAGTTTTTGCAAAATTTATTTTTTACAAATTACAGTTTGATTTTATTTAAAATAAAATAGATATTTGTCTTCAATCAAGGATGTTTATTGAAACTAGGCACCAAAAATTCAAAATGAAATAAGAAATATTATCCTAGTCGGTTATTCTTCTTTAAAAATTATTAATATGCTAAAATACATTTCTATTTAAAAATATTTTTGTTTATGCCAATCAAACATTAAACTCTGAAATTCACATAGCATTAGCTCTTGTGTGAAATAACTTTAGGTATTGCATCTACGATTGCAAATTTATAATATGCAATATTGTATTACAGATATAATTGGTAAATATTTTTCAAAAGCACAATCTTAATCAAGCTTTAAGTTAATTTTGAATTTATTTGATTTTTCTAAAAAATAATTATATTGTTATTTGAAATTATAATATGGTGAAATATTCTATACATATTAATTTAAATAATTGTTTATTGAGTGCAGAAGATAATTAGAAGTTAGGTATCGGATTCATTTTTGTACTTTCCCATTTTGTTCTAAAATTATAAATGTTCATTTTTTAACACTCTTAGCGAAATTTAAATTTTAACTGCCTTCACGAGCTATTTTTATTGCTCGCTATTCACATGCAATTTCGCTTTAATCAACTTCTGCTTATGTATTGCAGCAATAACAAACCACACAAATTATCTTTCAAAGCTTTTTTCAATTTTATTTTATTAGTGCGGCATTAAATTTTAATTTTCAATATACCACAACCTTTTAAACCACGTGATTCATTAAAGGATTGCTTATGAGTCAGTTAAGACATTTTAAAAACACATTTAATGCTTCTTATGAAAGATTCTTAGAATTTATTATTGTATTAGTTAAGTGGCGATCCTTGATTACAACAATAAAGAATGCAAATCAAATGAAATTGTATAAACTTTAAATGCTCAATCAATTTTATTATCTGCTTTTAAATGAATAATAAAATGCTTCATTTATTTTAAACGCTTTGCTGAAATTCCTTCAGATATCTTACAAATAATGACATTTAAGATAATTTATTTACTCACGCCTTTTGTTCTAAAGACATAGCGAAATGCCAAAAAAATGAGCATTAAAGGATCCAAACATTCTGCGATGGCATTCCTGACTAAGCTATATTGATTCCACGTTATTCAGATTACGAGCTCTTCCATAATTCCAAAAATCCTAATTCATTGGAAGACAAAATATTTATTCTAGAAATCAGCTTGTTTCTGTAGTCAATCAGCATGTTTAAGTCTTGCCCCTTCAGCAATTAAGATTTTTAGTGGATGAAACTATCGTATTGTTCGGAAAGTAATTTCGTTTTTTGTCAACAGAGGGCTTAATTATATTTTCTCACAGCCTACTTCACCCTTCAGCAGCATAATTCTTACATATTTTGACAGCTGATATAACAACGCTTGCTTGTGAAAAAGTTTAATTAGTTTTAGGCAGTAGTTTTTGGTTGGTACAATTTCAAAAATGAAAAGTGAAAAACCGAATTTTCGGCATATTTCACTTTTTTACTATCAGGGAAAAAGTACAGCTCAAACATAATGTCATTCTTTTATGAACCACTTGATATACACAGAGTCATCAAAAATCAATGCTAGGACCTGTCATTTGTGCATCAAATTACCCGAATCGTATTAGAAGTAGATTATAGTACCCGGAAACTAAGAGTTTAGAATTTTAAAAAAAAATTTTAATATTACTTCGTATTTATTTAATATTATTAATACATTTTTAATGCCTTTCTAAAAATCTATTGTTTTATGATCTCGCTGTAAATTTATGTACTTAGGCTTTTAATACATCTAATTTTGAGAGCTAAAGGTTGTGGTATGTTACCAATAAATAATTATTCAGTATTAAAATCATGTTGATATTTTTTTTCTTAATTTTTTTTTAAAATGTGTGTTATTATTTGTATTGCTCGTCGCCTAAACTATTTATAATTTTGAAAAGCTCTATCAATCTGGGGAAATCTCTAGTCTTTGTCTTGTTACTTTTTTCGCTATATGTGCTTTTTTTAGTTAAAGAAGGGGAACATTTTTGATGCCATATTGTACAATTAGCTGTTTATTTAACTTAAAGTTTATAAATTATTTCGTTTCAAATATCTAGTTATTTCAGAATAAACTATAAAAATAAAAAATTTTAAATCATTCCGACCTATAATTTTTTTTTTTGTGATAACTAATATCCAACTCCTAGTCGCTGTCACTCCCCGACCCCCGGAAGAGCTTGCATATCAGACTGCTTCACTCGTTCATTCCAATTTCACCTTCTTTAATAATTTATACTTTGATATTTTTTATGCTTCATATCAATTACAGTGAAAACTGTATTTCAAATCTCAACTTACGATGAAATCTAACAATTAAAATATTTGCTAAAATAATGAAAAGGTCATGCATATACTCTTCGATTGTTACAATGTGATTGACAAAATTCCTCTCTCTAACAAATTATTGCTAACAACAATGCCTTTAAATTCACTGTGATTAGTTTTTCCTTCACATCAAAAACAATCCGAAATTATTATAGATTTTTAATTACTCCAAAACTTATTTAAAACTTAAACAAATTGGGACGGCTTGTTCCTTTTCAGACATAAGAATATGAATCTGTAAAAAGAATTGTTAATTTCCTGCAAATTGTTTTCGCTAAATTGAATTACGTAGCTAATTGAATTACGTAGAAATGTTTTCTAAACATTTCTTTAGAAGTGTTCAAAGTTTCATATTCTTTTATTTAATAGTTTTTGAGCTACGAGAGTAAAAAACAATCCAAAAAATCGTCAAAATAAAATACCAAAATAATAAGAAACTAATTCGAAATTTAAACAGAGAGAAACGTCTTGCTTATTTTCAGAGAAACAAGTGCGTTGCTGAAGAAAAAAATTTTATTCCATGAAAATTTGAGCAGTAGATTAAGGAATTTCATGAAAATTTGATCGTTAAATCAGAGTTTCGTGAAAATTTGATCATTAGATCAGAAATTTTCGTGGAAAATTGGTCATTAGATCAAAGAATTTTATGAAAATTTGATCCGTAGATCAGAGAATTTTATAAAAATTGGATCATTAGATCAAAGAGTTGCATGAAAATTTTATCATTAGATCAAAGAATTTCATGAAAATTTGGTCATTAGATCAAACAATTTCATGAAAATTTGATCATTAGATCAAATAATATCTGGAAATTTTGTCAAAATTCGGAAATTAGATTAAGAATTTCGAAGAATTAGATCGAACCATGTACTAAACCTACTATACATTACCTGTGCTAATAATATCATTAAAAACATTGCTATTATTGATCTGAAAATATGTATTTTTAGTTCTCATAATTTTTTAATTTGAACACGAAATTTATCAATGTACATAAATATTAGTTTTATTACATGGTAAATACTAACTTCAGAGCATCAGAAATGTTAATCCCTCTAATGGTTCTTTTTTTTATTTTATGCTGTGTTATGTGCGTGTGTTGTTTTTTCACACATCGTTCCTTGTCCCCTCTTTTCAATGCAGCATATGAGCGAGGTGATAGAATGGTATGAGGACGCTACGCAAAAGGTAAAAATCTGCAAACGATTACAATCAGAAATGTATATTACTATGGATATCGTAGCACTTTAGAAAAATATCTCTGATTCCTTACTCTATCTCTCTATCTCTTTCTTTTTTTATTTACTTTTTCTTCAGTTTTTATTAGTCTTGAGAAAGTTTTTATTGTACCTCTTTATCTATTGTGGTTCATAACACTGTAGAATGTACTATAGACATTCCATACTATTGTATTGATGTATAGAATAATCGGATACTATTGCATGAAGGGAAAGTGTGACATTGTTGTTAGTTATTAGGTGATTTATGCCATGTTCATTAGTTTTGAATTAAATAAAAAACATAGCGATATTTTCAGGAAAAAAGGAAGACATCTTTGTAGGAGTTTAATTCGAAATAAGCTATTAAAATTTAAAAATTTCTTAAAATAAAACTCTTTAAAAGGGAGAAATAAATTGTATGTTTCTTTTTTTCTTACATCAAGATCTAATGTAGACTTGGCTCATAAACGTGTATAACTAATCAACTACGTATAACAGTTTTTGTTAGTTTTTAATAAAACATTTTAATAAAATATCTTATCAGCATTTTGAATTTTTGAGCAAAAATATTTTTATTTTGTCACATTTTGTGTATAAAATTATTATACAAGTTTTAAAAAAAAATTGTGATGGGATGAAATTATTATATCCACTTGAAAATAACAATGTAACATATAAAACCTGAAATCATCAGAGCACAATTATGAAGGAAAAAAAACTACGTACTCATAAAACTTATCATGCTAATGCTAAATATATTAGATTATGTATATTTTTTATAGTTTCTAAATACATAGTTTGTCAAGATTATGAAATCAAGGGGTATTAACATCTTGGGATGCTAAGATCAAAATAAAAAGAACCTATTTAAAGATTCCAGAAAACTGTCAGTAGAAAATGTTCTTCAAACTAAATACACTTCTTGACAATTGCTACGGAACAACTGATTTATGCAAAGTAGCGTTCTTGACAGCAACCCAATTACTGTAAAATCAAATGTAAAGGGCGTGGTAGAGCAGTGCGCGTTATCTGTAAAATAGGCAGTGCGCACTATCTCTTCATTCATTCGAAATTTCATTTTGTAGGTATTCGACCAAATAACCCCCATAGGCTATTAAACTTATATCTTCGATATTCAGTATGGTGTTCCAATAATTTCATCATCCATTCATTTGAGTTCTTACGATCGTGGAGGAGCAGTTAGACGACTGGAAGCAAGTCAAAGTGTCACGACTGTGGTCGTAGTAATGGGAATGTCAAAAAATATCATCTCACGATTAAAAAAGGCCACTGAAGATGGAGACCGCTGGTCGTTGTAGGAACCTCGAGAAGAACGATGTGTATCGCCAGTAACGAAAAGAAACAGAAATGTCTCTCCTAAGCAGATAGCTGCAGACCTTGCAACCACTACCGGTACTTATACTTCTCCTAAAACCATCTCTCGGCGATAAGATCAAGTTGGTTTGCATGCACAGGAGTCAGATCGATGCATTCCACTTTAACCACGCCATCGTCGAGAAAGATTACGTTGGTGCAAGGAACGTATTAATTGGAGTAATCAGCAATGGTCCAAAGGGATGTTCTCCGACGAATCCCAATTCACTATGACAGGTGATTCTGACTACTAGTTAGTGTGAAGAGAGAAGGGAACATATTTTGCACAACAATAGGTTCATGAACGTGAACAGTATCGCCAAGACGTGCCTAGTATGGACAATAGTTGAACACAGCTTCACACCTTTGAGCGAGGTAGCATTATGTCTCAGCGGTATTGCAGTGAGATTATTCTGGATTATGTTTGTCTTTTCATGGGTGTGGTAGATCCAGACTTTCTGTCTATAGACGACAATGCGCGGCCACACACTTGCGCTGAGGTACTGGAGGCGCTAAAAAGTAAAGATATTAAAGTATGCCATGCCTCGTGTACTCCTCGAACCTAAGTCCTATAGAATATACTTAGGATGCCCTTGGCAGACGTGTTTCACAAAAAAACACGCCTTTTCCAAACCGTGCAGGAGCTGAAAACCTGCATGAGTTTTGAGAGAGGAGTGGAACAGTATCCTGCAAGGACTCTTCGATAGTTTAGTTAGCAGATGCAAAATGTGCATTAATGTCCAAGAAAATCACACATCCTATTAAGATTTCATTCTGGCAAGAAGACCTATTTTTCATGACTGTTTGAAAATCGCCCAATGAGCCTCTTTTATTATTTTTTATTTTATTATTTTTCGTTATGTCGTTATCTGAACTATTTTGTATGATAATAAAAGAACATTGTCTATACTAGTTACGTACTTAGTTTCATTTCCTCAATCAACGTCTATACTTAATTATTCCGAAAATATAACTGTTCCTTAGCAATTGTCAAGCAGTGTATATAATATTCTACTTCATTCTTAATTTTATTCTTACGATCAGAGAAAAAATTATATTTTTGAGGTATCATTTAGTTCCTGTCTTCTCTTTATATGTATATATTATATATATAATAAATAAATGAATACAAGAAAACACTAAGAAAGTTAAGAAAAACAATAAGTTTCATTTATTGCGCTTAAGCTGCAAGTAAACAGCACNTTTTCTTTGTTTTATTCTTCATTTTGAACTTATATATATATATATATTTTAAATCAAGTTGAAAAGAAAGCTGTGTGAAATGTTAATAAAATTTAATTACTTAAACCATAAATGCCTAATAATAATGCTCAGTAATAATAATCATACCAAAATAAAGCGACATTTTTTCTAAAAAATACAACATAGAGCTATATTATAAAACAAAAACAAAAAAATTACAATTTTTTTTAGAAAGTTTCGATAATTACATCTATCTTTAACTGAAAAAGGAGATGAATTGACAATGAATCTATTACAACAATAAACTGTCCAATGCTAATAAGTTTGTTTCTAATCAATAAAAACAGTATTAAAAATTAAAATGCTACGAACTGAACTCAGTGACACCAGAGTCCGTGAAGGGCCAAAGTCCATTGTGCCCATCCCAGTTTTCATGACCTTGGACTTTGGGGAACAGGAGCAGATGTTCCAGTTGGGTGGTTAGCCGAACGACGAACCCCAGTGTTTAGTTCCAAACTCTTTGTATCGACTCTTTGTACACAATTTATCGACCCACCGGAAGGCTGAGTTAACCTTGCCCGATCTGTGGATAGAACCCCGTACCGCATTACCTCTAAGTCTTCGAGTGCACCACTCAACCATTGTTAAGACTGTTAAGCCATCTTTATTAATCTATGTCTTCATTACAGTTAAACAACTCATCTCTTAAGATTGACTACGTGTCAACATTTTTAAAAATGAAAACATTAATATTAATTAAGAGCGAAGGTGTTATCATTCAATAAGAAAGATATACATTATCATTTATTAAGAAAAACATTCGCTATCAATAAGAAAGATTTGTATTACCATCTATTAAAAACCATGTGCATCATATTATTGATAACGATATTCATTATCATTTATTCATGCACTATCATTAAGAAAGATATGCATTATCATCATTTATTAAACATGACAATATCATTTAAGATATGCGTTATCATTAAGTACAATATATTTATTATCAAGCATTAATAAGGATAAATATTCTCATTTATTAAAAGCAATATACATTATCATTTAAAATTCGCATTATCATTTATTAAAAACGACATAATACTTTAAGATATGCATTATCTTTATTAACAAAAGACATTATGGAAAGTAATACATTGTTTAAATATATTTAATATACATTAAATATATTGATTTAATCAAAAATAAGAAAAAGATATCTAATTTGAAGAAAAAAGAATATTTTAATTTTAAATACGCATAAAGAAAAAGATTTTCGAAGTAAAATTTAATAATCACTTCAGAGTAAAGCATCCCTTTTTTCACAATACTAATTAAAGGCATATAACTGAAACAATATTAAACCACGTTTATACACATAAGTAAAATTTATATATAACGCAATATATTTGAATCTTAATATATTTGATACAAAGAAATATTGTTAAACTATTTTATAGTATTGTTTTGCATTTTTGTGACTTCATTTTTTGAAAGCGCACAGTGAATTTTTGTCATACACTTTTTTGACTTATCTTTTTTGTGCATGCTTGTGAAAAAAAAAGAAAGAAATTGTGCAGTGGCATGATGTGTTTTTATACTCGTGATTTTTTTTCTCTTGATGTAGAAAAAAAAAATGCATGAAATTTGTTTCTCTCTTCAGTAAATTGGGGGTCAGAAGTTTATACATCATTTTACTGTTTTCAGAATTTGTGCTTTCTTTGTGACGGACGTTTACATCACACCGAGGTTAGTAAACAAATATGGAATAATCACGCAAGTTTCATGACTTACTGCACTGCCATTTCAACATTTTAAATTTTAACTTTCATCACTTCTTAACAGTAATTTTTACACACTAAGCAATTATCAGTATGTTATTCACTTGTCTATTATAAATTATTTTATTTAAGTTTATCTATCATTTTATCAGCTCTTCCTTGGTTTACTGATATTTTATGAATAAATAGAACTGTTTTTATCATTAAGTATATATAGAGTTGTTAAATTACAATGCTAGAACATGTAAAATGGCGACACTCTTCAACTAAATGTGTGCAGCACTCCTCTGCGGTAATAGACTCTTAACTTCTTAAATGATGAATTTATCGTTATCTTTTATTATTTTTAATTGAATTTATAAAAATCTCTGTAATCATTTGTTTATTTATTTTAATTTAATTTTTTAAAATGATTCAGTGTTTTTAAAAGGAAATCTAGAGTCAAAAGAAGATAAAAGTACCACCATTAATCCTTTGAAACTAAAAAAAAGAATTACTAAAACTCTTTTTGATAAATTATTGATAAAAATATGAATAAAAAAGAATGTGTGAGTAAGAGACTAAATTGAGGCACACTAACACTAGAGTTATTTATCGTTGAATTTACAGCATCAAATATCAACAGTTTCCTATCAAGTCAATAGAGGGCTCCTTATGAGTAAGGCTAAAAAGAAACTATATAAAAATGTGTTAGGATGACGTCAGAGTCTATCGTCTTTAACTATTACGCGTTAATGGCGTTGGTGTTTGTTTTTAGTTTAGTTTGAACTGTTGTCAATAATCGTCTGTGAGATTTCAAAATTGGACACAGCTCAAAATGCGTATTTAAGAAAATTAACACAGCTCGACAGCCCAAATTTAACAACTAAACAAGAAAATGCGCTCTTATTTTTCCTTATTAATTTAAATACTTAGCATTATCATTACGGGGCAAAAACCTGAAATTCTGGATCGGGGTAGCTAGGTAGAATATCAGGCGATGTCTTCGCATTCAGAACTCTAAACGATAAAGTGAGTTTTAAAACTCTAAATTCCCACTACGTAAGTTTACTAACACTATTACAAAAATTAAAGCACCCGTGGAAACCTTGTAAAAACAACTTTTAAAGTCTTTTCCATTAAAGACTCATTTTATAAAATGTTCCGAGTGATTTATGCTAATGAACGTTATCATTTTACGAGGTTATTTGAATTCATTAGTTTATTCTTGGAAAGAAAGAAAAAAAAGAAAGACACTTATAAAAGAATTTCGAAAAACGTAATCTTCCTTCCTCGACGAGCAAACAGATCTCGTTGCCAACTTTCCGTAGTTATGATAATCTCCCCGTATCCATAACACACCCTTTCTGTAATTCTATTGAAAATTTAATAGCTATGAAAGGTATGGTCAGATTTTAAAAGCAAAAAGAATAGAATAGCTGTGACATTTAGAAAGAATGGAAGAAACCGTGCTAAATGAAATCATGAAAGGAAAAGTTTATAACAATCAAACCTCCAGTCTACCTCTTATACCAAAACTAAGATGACTGGACCGGGTTAAGGAGTTCTGGGAAGAAAAAGAAAAACACTAAATAAAGAGAGCTGGCTAGAGATTGTAATAGAACTCTGTGTGGTAGAGAAATCCAATTTCAACAAAATCTAAATAACTGGAAAGAAGTTATCACTAACTCAATTAACAATTATAAAGTCAACGACTCAAGATTATATCATTTGATTTATGACCTGTAAGATCAGTAATTCCTTAATTAATTCCTATATCATTCATTCATTATTAACCAAATGCTACTCTAACTTTTTAAGAAAGAAATACAGCACTGAAAAATTATTATAATAATTTGATCTCTTTTTTTTTCAATTTGAAAATATTTCTATTGTGAAATAACATTTTTAGATGTATGAATTCTTTAAAAAAAAAATACGTCTTTTTTTAGAAAATAAATGTTCTTTTATAAGAAGATACAATATAAGAATCAGACGAAATTTCCCGTTGTTTTGGTTATAAACTAAATAAGGTTTGTTAAATAGTGATTAAATATATGAAAATATATTTAATCACTATCTTCTATCCAGGCAATAATTTTTCCTAGGCACTTGAATGTTTTAGAAATGCTAATAAAATAAGTTGTTTGAAAACTAATGAATTCGTGTTTTATTTTTTTATCGTTCAATTATTGGGCAAATTATTATAGTCATTTGGCCAATCCTAAGTTGTTTTATGATGGTTTAAAGTTTACCACAAATAACTTATTATATAACCCATTCTTTTTCACTGAGTGGCTTGATAATAAACTTTAACAATTGATAAATCTCTCCCTATTTAAAACTAATTATTTAAATAAAGTGCTTTAGTTAAAGTGCATAATTTAAACTCTCCATAGAAACGAGGCATTCATTTTCTTCAGAGAGAGTACTTCTAATAAATTAACCTAACCATACAATGAGCTGTTATTGATGGGTTTGTTTGAATCGTGTTAAAAGCATTGTGTTACAAAAAATATTATGACAACCAGAGCAGCAGCTGATAAAATTTTAGAATAAGCACTTAAGTTCATGTGCGCACGCATAAACAAAAAGTGCAAAACAATCTAGGTATGTGCTATCGAGTGACACATTGTTTTATTCTGTGCAGCATTTGAACAGCCTGCTGGAACACTATCTGGAACCAATGAAGAAGGAGACATTCTTATCGAATTCTGAAGTGAATGCTTTGTTTGGCAATATTCAGGAGATCGTCCAGTTTCAGAGAGTGTTCTTGCAGAGCCTAGAAGAAGCCATTGCATCTGAGGTGGACTTTCATAGGTTCGATCATCCCGCCCAATTCAAGGTGAGCAGCTCTTTGATTGGTTATGGTAGAAATATTTACCAAGCGCCTCAAAAATAAGATGGAAGGAAATTAATTTTAAATATGTATTATTTAAGTAACATTGATTTATTGTATAGCATATGATGCATGATAAGTAAATGCTTAATTTCTTACACGATATTTTGGAATCTATGCAGCATTTAATCCCTTTTCTCTAAAATAATATTCAATTTCCAATCTCAATTGTTTTCACGGTTCAAACGTAAGAAATTTAAATTTATCTCAATTAAAACTTATTTTAAATAATAATAAGAACTCGAATATCCGCTCTTAAATTTTCAGAAATTGGCATTATATTAGCAATCATGATTTCCAATGTAAATGGATACTTATTTATTTATGTATTGCAATAATTGTTTGTTAGGTATCGTTAATGTTATCCTTTTCCATAGACATATTGGATTAACCCTATCTAATTTTGCATATCTGACCTTATATTCGAAATCCTCCTCCAAAACCCTAAGAAATTAGATAGGATACAGTTTATCATACATGCTTAAAATTATAGCCTTTTTTTTCCAATCTAGACCACTGTTCAACGATGCCTAAAATAATGCAATAACAGTTTAGTAAAATTTAACATTAAAGCAAAACTATGTGTATGCCCACTGCTTGTTCTATTAGTCTCGACTCCTAGAAACTTTCTGTTTTTAGAAACTAAAGGGATGGACTTTGTGAACGGACTGCCTGGGTCATTAAGCATCTTTAATTTAAATAGACTAAATCAAAATTTTAAAAACCCCATTTATTTATTCAATTTTTTGAAATCGATAATTCGTATTTTTGATAGTTCGAGTAAGGCCCAATCACGTACACTTCGAATGATCCAAACTTTATCTGAAAGTGGTAGAGTTTTTTAACTGTCACCTCAGTATATTAAAAAATGTTCTATAATTTTGGCCATCTGTTTTTCAAGACTTTTAAGGAAACAATGCAAGTCGTTAAAGAATATATTCTCAACCTTTTGTTTGGTACTTAAAAGATACACACTTGAGTGCTTTAAGTGCTCTTAAAAGATATCTAAATAAGTGTTTGGTAAGGATACCCTTGCCGTATGGAATAGATTCTATTTGTAGTATTATGCTATAAATACTTTCGAATAACGCCTACATTCTTTTTTAAACACTCGTTTTACGTTGATTAGTTATAAAACAAATATCTTCAGTTACCTTACATTTTTTAAGAAGGTGAAAAAAATGATACGCTTAATTGTAAATTTTTGCTTCTCGCGTTTAAATGAGACTATTTTACAAAATGTAGCGGGAAAAATTTCAATGTAGTTATTGAATAAATTGCAGGAAATTAAAAATTGAAAATACGACTTTTTCAGAGCTACTATATCAAAATTAAATAAGTGTGAAAAATATCAAGTTTGCTGTCTTGGCAGGAAATACTAATTTTTTGTCGTATTCATTTGTACATTTAGATGAAATGAAAAAAGTCATTAAGTGCTAATGTATCGTTCTTGACTCTATCCATATTCATCTACATGTCTTATTAATTTCCTACAATTTAAGTGCACTGATTATTTTTTAACAAAAAATGTGATTTTTATATAAATCGTGTAAATTAAAACAATTTCAAATTAAAACAACTGCAAATTCTATAAGCTCTTAATTGATAAAAAAAAATTCAATCAAAAAAGTTGAAAACTGAAACTATTGGGTTAATAGCTGTATTCATATACAAGATGTTAAGGAATCACCTCCCTTGTTATGTATTTTTAGAGTCCATATCAAAAATGAAGTTTAAAAAGTCTACACGCTATAGATCTTCAATTAATATTGGAGCAAGGAAAAAAACGCTTTTTTTTTTCTTTCAAAATCTGATTAATCTATATTGAGAAAGGTGAGATTGTTGGAGGAAATTTGAAGGCGTTTTTAGAAATGACTTTACACTTCCTCTTTTCTTTCTGCAATCAAACAGTATTCAATTTTTTTAGCATAATTTTCTTGTTAAAGATTCGCTAAATGTTGATGTTTTACTTTTGCCTCGCTAAATATTAATCTGCGCCTCCAAATGATGCACATTTTCGAATGAATACCTTTTCGGGTCGAAACAAAGGTTTTGTGTATTGCAATGATGCGTAAAGGGTTCATTCATGTTTAAATTAACTAGGCATTTTCTTATGTTACCAACCACTTAATTTTTAAAAAATATCTTAATTCTTTGATTATCGATTAAAATCAGAAGATTTTTATTATTAATATATCAAGTTACAAATGCTTGTTCAAAACTCAAAATGTAGATGGTGCTGATGGTTAATTTCAAAATTGAATATGTGTCTTAATTTAGCAAAATCAATTTCAAACCTAACACATTAGCAAAGTTAGCCCTCGATTCTTTTAGTATTAAGAGCGAATTATTTTAAGACATTTTTCTAATAAAAAAAAGTTCTTCGGATTGCAAATTGAAAACTAGAAATATCTTTCCTGATTAAACACTTTATTCGCTTCAAAAATATATAAATAGGAAATTACAGTCGACGTATTGCAAGCGCTCAATAATAGGCGACCATTTTCAAGATTTTCTAGACGTGAATGAGAAGAAACAAAAGTATTATTTTTCTTTCTTTTCATTCACTTCTGACAGCTCTCGAAAATGGGCACCTATTTTTGAGAGCTGGAAACATGTCGACTGTTATATATTTTTGAAGCGAATGAAGTTTTTAATTAGAAAATATATTACCGCCTCAGTCTCTTGGGATTAGTTATTTGATAGTAATATATTCAGTAAAGTTCCGAAACCCTGTTCCGCCTCACTAAAAATACCGGAGTATCGTAACAGCGCCTTGTGTTGTTTTTTAATGAAAAGAAACTTGATACTGGTCATACATTAATGTTTTCTTTCCAGAATGTTCTGTTTGCGCTTGGAAACTCGTTTCTCTACTACGCCGATCAGTTCAAATTATATAGTTCCTTTTGTGCTAGTCATTCAAAAGCCCAGAAAGTGTTACATCCTAGTAAATGTAAAGGTAGGTTCTGCTATATGAATTTCATACTCCGTGTCCTCTGATTGTTTCAAAAAATGTTAATGAATTGTATTGACAGGTCTGAGAAACAAGGACCACGTATGCCCAGCGGCGGGGGAGGGCAATTCTGCCTTGCTAGAGTTTTTGCAGTCCCGCAATCCAAAGGGTCAGCACTCCTTCTCTTTGGAGTCCTACCTCATCAAACCCATCCAAAGGATACTCAAATATCCACTACTCCTACAGCAGCTCAAGCACCTAACGGATCCCAACTCTCAAGAGCACTTACATCTCTCCGGTTAGTACAGTACAGGGCGTCCAAAAAGACTCACAAAGTTTGAATTTCATATATTGCATTGGCATGCCCTTTACAAAAAAAAATAACGTTGTTTGAGGTTGACAGGCGTAAAAAAATACAATGGAGGTAGAAAATGAGTATACGTTTTGCACCAAAAACAACCACATTTACACCTCATATATAACTCAGCAATACTTTTAGTTGAAATTGGATGAAATTAATTACACCTCAAACATATTCATTTGCTTGAAGTGTACAACAAATAACATATACATATTGAAAAACCTCTCAAAGCTGGTTGCGCTAAGGTAGATTTCTATCAACCTCAAGTGTGAAGAAAACAACTTCATACACCTTGATTATAAGCCAACTTTAAATAAACCTCAAATCTACCTCAACACCTCAAATAAGCCTCAAAAATATTTTAAACTTTTGTAAGGAACTAGCCAATTTTTATGCTTTTTCAGTGGTAATACAATAATAGTTTAAGTTAGTGAAACTGTCTTTAATTTTTCATTACCGAATCAGGTGTGTTGAATTGATGTTCGAACTACTTGTATGTCATGGTAGTAAAAATAATTTTAAATAATTGTTTTCATAATATTTTTAGTGGTAATAAAAATAAATTGAACTGACCAAAAAAAATTTTTAATTCAGTAGGGGTTCAAAAATCATTACCGAATGATTATCAAGTTTGTTGTATTGATGTTAGAATTATTTGCATGCCATGGTAGAAAAAATAATTTCAAATCAAATTTGTCGAGCCATGAGTCAAATTAAGGTTGCAACTTACCTCGAGAAAGAGCCGTAAGTGAAACTTTTTAAATGCTTACTTGTTTGAGGGATAAATAAAATTTCTTTATTTACCACGATCTAGTTACAGTTGTAACTAAATAATTAATTATGTCTGTTATAAACAATGAAAAGAAGTGGTAGTAAGTGATAATTTCTTTCTCTGAAATAGAAGATACAAATAAAATTGTTTTATTACCAGTTTCATCTCTTTTTCCTTGACAAATATTGAAGTATTAGGGTTTTTTATCACTGGGGAAAATATCCGCAAAATATGTTATGATAATAAATGTTATATCTTAAATAACCGACTTCCAATTCTATTATAAACATGCTTAAATTTTTTTTTCTGAGTAAATCCACTATTTTTTTCTTTTCTTTTTTTTTTAATTTTTGATATTGGGCCTTTTTCAAGTTTGTATTATTTATTAATTTTCAGAGGCACTGAAAGGCATGGAAAGAGTTGCAGAGCATATCAATGAGATGCAACGAATCCATGAAGAATATGGCGCCATATTCGATCATCTTTCTCGCCAACACTATAAGAGTTCTCGACAAGTAAGCCTTTTTTTTTCTTTCTTTTTTTAATCCCCTTACTTGCAATATTTCTTTTTTTTAACGCACTCTAAGGACGCAGCAAGCGTAAACAACGTTAATTTTTCACGTTTAATTAAATTTCAAAGAGCATAGTCTATAAAGTCAAAGAATATTGCATAACTAATAATTTAGTGAAATATAAAATACGATTTTTAAATTATTTTTAAATACATGTTTTTCAATGCAAAATTGCGACTTTCAGCATAATTTTGCATCTTTTTCTTATTCTGGAGGAAGCCTTCTAGACCTTTCATTTCACATAATGGATGTAGGTATATCTCTAAATAAATTGGAACCTTTAGATTTAATAAATGGAAACTCTCAATTGTTTATTTCCAATTGAACCTATAAATTACAGGTACAGAGCTTAAAAAATATACCGTATTGCGTGCCATAAAAAGCATTATAATGTATGAACTCAAGTTTAAAAGATGACTTCCTGTGATAAAATGATTGTTTACAAATAAGGCAACAAAAAAAATCTAATTTTTATCATAAAAACAAAGAGTAATAGATTAAAATAAATAGCTGCATTACATCATAAAAGCAAACAGCATTAGATATTTTAAGCATTTTGTAAAATTCTGTCATAAAAGCTAAATGTAATATATATTTTGTTACGTATTTAGTAGAATTCTATCATAAAAGAGAAAGGTAATACATATTTTGTTTAGTATTTAATAGAATTCTATCATAAAAACAGAGAGTAATAGAAATTTTATTTTAAGCATTTTATTGAATTCTATCATGAAAACAAAGAGCAATAGAAATTTTATTTTAAGCATTTTATTAAATTCTATCATGAAAACAAAGATAAATTTTATCTAAGCCTTTAGTAGAATTCTACCATAAAAGCGAAAGGTAATATTCAAGTATTTAGTAGAATTCTACCATAAAAGCGAAAGGTAATAGAAATTTTATTCAAGTATTTAGTAGAATTCTATCATGAAAGCGAAAGGTAATAGAAATTTTATTCAAGTATTTAGTAGAATTCTACCGTAAAAGCAAAGAGTAATAGATATTTAAGCATTTAGTAAAATATTCTATGATAAAAAACAAAGATATTTCTTTTTCAGCACGTAGATCTCAGTCCCGGAGAGTTGTTGTACTACGGAGGAGTTGAATGGCTCAATATATCGGAATTCTTAGGAAAAATCAAAAAAGGTCTTGAGCTGCATGCCATGTGTTTCGTCTTCAAAGCGGCTGTCGTCTTTCTCTGCAAGGAAAGGATAAGGCAGAAGAAAAAACTCATGGTAGGTTCTTACCTTACAAAAACAATAATCCACTTTTAGAAAAAAATTGCAATTTTATATATTACTAAAGTTAGC